CACGTTCATGATTTTAATAAAAGTTTATTGTAAATTTGCAGGATTTGAATTATTATTTGGCACTTTGTAATTTGGTTCCTCAAATGGGTTATCTATTTCCGATGAAAGGAGTGATTGCTGGAATTTTTTTAAAATGTTTAAACCTTCGGCACTATTAAGTGAGGTAAGGACTTTTGACATTTCTTTTGAAAATTGTGTTAATGCTTTTTCAATTTCAGATACTTTTGAAAAGGTAGTATGGTTGAAGACGGATTGAGATGGTGTGATTTGAATCGGACTGGCAATGGCGTGATGGATTGGATTTCGTGGAGACGCAACTTTGCTATATTTTAATTTTGTTACTCTTTTGTTTATTTCTTCATAAACGCTTCTTTTTGGTGGTTTGTTTTTATTAAGAGGGGGAAAGGCATTGTTAAATTCATCATCAGAAAGGACTTGGAAACGGTTTTGGGATTCTGGATATTTTTGAACAACTTCTTTTCGTGAAAGGTTGGAAAGGGCCATTATGCTTCTTATATTTCTTTCAGATTTCCATCTTGGGCCCTGCTTTGAGTCGGTTGCAAAATGATCAATACTATTACATAGAATGCATCGAGGCGAGTTGCATATATCCTTGCACGTAGTTGTTGATAAACATTCTTTACATTTCTGCTCTTTGGGACATTGATTGGGGCATAGAATAAATTTACCACAATTTAAACATTTTTTCGTCGACCTGCAACGAATGGCTATGTGTCCTAAACGTCCGCAGTTTAAACATAAACGTACAGGGGGGACATATAACTCCGGTGTTATTTTTGTTCCGCACATAAGTATCTCCGTGGGTACACCATCATATATAATACCGATTTTTATGGTTTCGGAGTATTCCATTTTATTGTTTTCGGATTTTCTAGTGAAGCGGTATATTGAAACAACGTCCATATCATTATTAGCTTCAATTTGTTGTTTAATTGTAATAGCAGAAATACTTATTGGTACATTCTTGATTATATAGAACCGTTGTACAAAACGTTCTGGGATAAAGGCTTTGAGATCAATTTGGTTTAACTTTGGGTTTGTAGCAAAGGAGTTGGCTGAGGTAGCATTGTTAAATGTAATTCTGAAAAGATTGTATCCAATGTTCTTGCAAGCATAGTCTGTAATATTAATCTTTTGAAATCTTGCATACAGGTGAAGTTCACAATTCTTTCTTCTTGTGCTAATTGGCGTTTCTGAGGAAACTAACACATGAAAAGGACCGGGATGGTATTGAGGATACAAAATGGTTTCTTTATTTAGAGAGTTGTAGTTGTGTTGTTCTGCCATTTCATTATTTGATGTAGGTTCTGTGTTTGTGTTTATTGGTTTAACAGGTGTTCCATTTTGGTTTTTGAAAGTTTTAGTTTCTTTGGAAATGCTTGGAGCTCTTCTTTTATTTTGTTCCCCCGGAGGAGGAGGTGGAATAGGCGGAGGAGGAGGTTCCCCTACTCCCCCCATTTTTCAGTTAATGAAGGATTATTTTAACTTTTGTAAAAAAAATTGCAAAAGCAGGGAAAATAAAAAAAACTCAAATTTGTTTATGTTTGTGTGTGTGAATGCGTTGTTTGTATATTTGTTGTTGTTTTGAAAGCACAGCGACCAGCGCGAAAAACAGTCTAATGTCAACAGATGTTGATGAGCGACTGCAACAATTTTTCATTCAACATTTTTAATTTCAAAATCGGTTTGACAGTTCAATGTCCCAGCAGCTGCGTCGATGCGTCTACCTGAATTTTTCTACCATGTGTTATACATACAAAAAATTGACAACAAACATATTCGCCACAGAATTCTTTTGTCAAGGCGAAAATATTTATTTTTGCCTCAAGCATGAATTTTGACATTTCATCTAATAAAATAACAGCTGTTTTTAGATTAATTCGCTCGAAGGAAGACCTTATAATTTTTTTTTATCTTTCAATTTTTAATCTTAACCATTAATTAAATCAATTAATATAAATCTTTTACACCTTTATTTTTTACTAAAACATATTGAATCGTTTCAAAGTTTTTTTACCACAGTTCTTGTTATGCTGACCGAGATTATATCAATTGTTTAAAAAAAATCTATACTCCCCGAGATAAAGAACTCACTAAATTCGATTTTTTACCATTTTTTGCTCCACCAAATACACGTAATATAACTATCACTTAAAATCGTTTAGTGAGTAAATGTTAATGAATACAGAAGGAATCTCAACTTTGCTGTACATTTAAGATAAAAACGACCGATTTAAGCCAATGTTTTGTTTTCGGATTTTACTGAATTGCCAAAAATATTTATTTCCCAAATAAAAAATATTAAAATGTCGGAGAGATTTTACTAAGCTGTATATCGTTTATGTCGTGTTAAATTCTTGCTGTGCAATAATAAAATGAATTGTTATTCTTGCAATAATAAAATGAAAGAATCAAAAATTTTAATGCAGCAATGTCAAAAATTCAGCTATATAACGACCACTTAAATACAATTTATTAAGGATTTGATAGGGAAGTTGTTTAAAGTATGTTTTTATTCAACATAATGCCGCTATGAATAAGGTGTATCGTTAGAATTAGGCTCTCGAGGGTCGCATATTGGCTCCCATTTTACAGACATATTGTTTGCTTAAGTGTGTTTTTGGTGTGATAAGAGCAGGAGAATAAAATATATGTCTTAAATCGTTTGTTTTGTTCCCTGGTCCAAAAAAGGAAACTATGATAGTAACATTATAATTGTAAAATGTGATATCATCTAATGTAGAATATTTTGTATCCTTGTAGTCAGCATAACATCTATGGTAAAAACTTTAAACCGATACGAGTGATGTCCATTGACAAAACTGGCTGCTAATAGTGTTGGGAGGTTTTTGATTTTATTGATTTTCATAAAAATAATTAAATAATGGACAAATCTTCCCATGATTTCTCGAAGTTAATTGGAAGCGTTAGCCTGGAGAAAGAGGTTGGTGGCACCTATTATGGTTGTGTCATCATTATAATTATCTTTTTGTTTTATAGATTGATCCCATTTGCATGAGCATCGATGATATGATAACTCGACTGGATGAGCTGGAATCACTTTTGGCCAATGTAAAGTGTGAATCTAATCGTTACTCTTTTGTATAATTTAATAATTTGATAAAAAAAAAAATAGGCGAATTATCCGCTTTTCAAAGATTTGATTTAATATACCAAAGAGCTTTCACGACCACCTTCAGTAGAATAAAAAAAACAATTAATTTTATTTCATCATTTCATTTTCCATATTTCGATCGGCGTCGACGATCATCTTCAGGGACTGACATTTGTTTATATTCCCAAAACAACTTTACTTCCGCATACAAATCTTTGTAGAGTGTTGTGGAAGTAAAGTGGTTTTGAGAATATAAACAAATGAAGTGATGAAATATCGATCGTGAACCATGCCGATCGAAATATTGGAAATAAAATTTATAGTTTTTTTATTTTACTGACCTCGAGCCAAACTAGATAAAAAATAAAAAGAACATTGAGACCAGAGGCAAACTTAAACAATACAAACATATGTAAATGTTAATGTAAAGTAAAAACAGAATAATTGTCCTATCACGATTTATCAGTAACAACACTAAAAGTTTCACATGGTAGTCTATCTATAATACGTAAAACTTTGGTTCTGCTTTGTCCTTAATCCCTCGAATGTAATTGGTATATTATTGTTATTTTAATCATATTTTTTCTTGCAGGTCAAGGGCGTATCAAATATAATTATAGATCAGTATACAAGTGGAGTGTTGACATTTCTTCCTAAATTCATGGAATTAAAAAGTCGAATTGATAATTTGGAAAAGTTTGTCCAAGTTGTAGACGATAATATGAATCAAATGGAAAAGACTATCGATTTAGCAGAACATGAACTCAACGTAACAGACTACAGCCTTAAAGGCTTGATTTTGAAACCATTGCTGACGAAAACATTGCCGATTTCTATGCCAAATGGAGAAGAAACGGCATCATCGACAAAATCGGATGCAAGCATTGAATACCAGCCCATTCAAATGTTTAACTCAAAGCTATATTTTGATAATAAAATTACAAAGAATAATTAAGCATTCTGTAGTATATTCATGTCGTCTACCTTGCATCCCCTCTAAGACTAACAGTTTTAATGCATAGTTAGTAATTAAGCATGGTGCAATTATGTTTCGACTCAATCTAATAATAACACAGATAATTTAAAGTTTTGCTACACCATTTTATTTATCCAATTCATTAATTTATTCAGTTTAATTTGATGATAAAAATTGGAATGTTACCAGGGTAGAATTGAAATGTTACCGTGGTAACCTTTATTGAAATAAGCATAACCAGCTCTATATTTGCTGTAATTTACCTCGTCAAATTTAATAACATAGAAAACAGGTCCCATTTTACGTTTGGATTTATGTATTCACTTTTTAAAAAGAAGAAATGATCAAGTGTTTAACTAAAAAATTAAACACATGAATGCAGAAAGTTACCTTATTAATCCATCATGGTTTCCCTTTAATTATCAGGCATGCCACAGAGACGAATCCAATCAAAAAATTATTCATTTCTGAAAACTAAACAATCTTATTAATCCATCATGGTTTCCCTTTAATTATCAGACATGCCACAGAGACGAATCCAATCAAAAAATTATTCATTTCTGAAAACTAAACAATCTGGACTTAACATTATTTTTCATAATGGTATTGTTTGATTGATTTCTTTGATTCCTGCTGCCATATTAACCCTGAATAATAAGATTTTCTTTATTCAACAAATCGATGGGAATCTGAAGAAGCTAAATCAAAAACAATTGATTGTAAATGACGGAATTGGAACCATGCCTGTACTTTCAGTTTTCCTTTTTTCTATAGTTCTTTGACTAGTGTCGATGGAATTCAACTGAATTTGAAAATTTTCAATATTATTTTATTTATTTATTATAAGTGTGAGTTTTTTCGACCTATTTTCCAATATATTTAATAATATGAGTTTTTTTGAGCTTTAGGCCAGTTTTTTATTTTATTTCATTTTTGATCTCCGATATTTCGCAATTGTATAAATTGCATCTTCAGGGGATCTACAAGATAATATAATATTCTTAATATTACTATCACAGCATTGATTAAAAATAGAAACAAACACAATGTTATTACACAAAAATCGCTTACTTGTAAACAATAATCGTCAAGTTAACTTAATAACTACGATAGAATGCACTATCATCGTCGGCTGTTAATATTGCACTGATTTTGTTTACATATTGCACGATCTCTTCTTTTGTGTCAAATGCCTATAGCAATAAGCTGCGTTATCTGTGTCGCTCTTAAAATTTATTCTCTCTGTTGTGTGTAGATTGTTGATGTGTAACATTTCTAATGTGAGTCTTCTGTGGTAATGGTTTTCCGTTTGCAGTATTTTTACTTGTTCAAGGTTTGGCTGATGGTTGCTTGATATACAGTGTTCCGCAAGCGCTGTTTTTTGTGTGTAATTTTGGTTTCTCATTTTTAAATCAGACTTATGGGCTGATAGTCTAGTTTTCAATTTATTTTTTGTGGTACCAACATAATATTTCCCACATTTTTCGTTAGGGTTGCCATCGCATTGTATTTGGTATATCACATTGTGTTTATCAGGATTTTGTATTTTGTCTTTTGTATGGCTAAATAGCTTTTTGAGAGTGTTGTTGTTTTTCTGGGCTATTATATATTTGTTCTTATCATATAAATTTGAGTTCTGGAATCGTTCTGATAAATTTGGTACGTAAATCATAGATTTATATATCTTTTCATCTTTTTGGGTTTCTCTAGTAGTATTCCGTCGTCCTATTAATCTATTTATTATTCTTATTGGAAAATTGTTGTTTGTTAGAATATCTCGGATTTTGTGTTTGTTCTTGTTATGGAATTTCTCGTCACTAATGCTCATTACTCTATGTACTAAATTTTTTGCAGTGTTTATAATCATTTGCTTGGGATGTTTCGAAAAGAAATTTATAATTCTTCCCGATGCCGTGGGTTTCTGATACCAGTCTAATTCTAATTTGTCCTTATTTCTATATATTATTGTGTCTAGATATGGTAAACATCCATTCATTTCATCCTCCATGGTGAATTTGATATTGTTGCTGAAACTGTTAAGTATATTCAATGTATCATTGATTGCATCTTCCCCAGTTATCACAAAAAGATCGTCCACGTATTTCGTTAATATTTTGGGTTTTGTTGTCAGTTTTTCCATGCAGGTGTCTAAGAGTTTCTCCATGACTATATCCGCCACAACTGGAGAAGCTGGTGAACCCATTGGCAGTCCTTTCTTTTGTTTATATATCTTGTCGTCGTATTTGAAATATCGGTTGTCTTTAATGCAAAATTTTAGAATACTTAAAAATAGGCCCTTTGTCATATTTGTGTATTCTTTTAGTTCTTCCCACCTTTCGTCGATTATTTGAATACCAAGATCTATCGGTATGCTTGGGAAGAGTGATACTACGTCAAACGAAACCATCCTGTCATTTTCTTTAATCGTCATATTTTTAACTTTGTTTTTGAACGCCATTGAGTCTTGAACGTTATATTTGGAGAATTTGGTAAGATTTTTTAAAATTTTAACCACATATTTGCACAGTTCTTCCGACGGAGAATTGATTGAAGAACAGATCGGGCGTAACGGGAAATCTACCTTGTGGATTTTTGGTAGTCCATACAATCTTGGAGCTGTAGCCACGTCACTTCTGAGTTTTTTCCTTTCCATTGTCGTAATAATGTTGTTTTTGTATAGCTCCTCCACCAGTTCATTATTCTTTTTTATCAAACCTGTTGTTGGATCTTTGTTCACCCGTTGATATGTCATCATATCTGAAATAATACTGTTCATCCTCTGTTTGTAGTCATTAATGTCCATTGCAACCGTAACATTTCCTTTGTCAGCATTTAAAATTAATATATTTTTATTGCTATAGGCATTTGACACAAAAGAAGAGATCGTGCAATATGTAAACAAAATCAGTGCAATATTAACAGCCGACGATGATAGTGCATTCTATCGTAGTTATTAAGTTAACTTGACGATTATTGTTTACAAGTAAGCGATTTTTGTGTAATAACATTGTGTTTGTTTCTATTTTTAATCAATGCTGTGATAGTAATATTAAGAATATTATATTATCTTGTAGATCCCCTGAAGATGCAATTTATACAATTGCGAAATATCGGAGATCAAAAATGAAATAAAATAAAAAACTGGCCTAAAGCTCAAAAAAACTCATATTATTAAATATATTGGAAAATAGGTCGAAAAAACTCACACTTATAATATATAACACGGAGAGCACGCCGAATACCAACAACATGATCTACAGAAACATCAAGTATAAAAACAACATCAAACACAGCATTAACAAACACAAAAACACAAAAGTGAAGATTGCCAAAACAAAATGCTCTTTAACTTTTCTAATTCGATGTCGTAACAACGGCATCATTCCTAACTTTATTAAAAATGCCTTAAAAAATATTCACAATATTTTTAAGACACCTCAAATATACCACATTAAAAATACATTAAAGGGATACATTGATACTTTTCAAAACAAGATTCTCAATCTACTAATTAAACAGAAACATTACGAAATAAAGAACAATCAAAGGGATCAACAAAATATAGAAAAAACTTTGGGAGAAAATCTAACACAACAAGAGATAAACATAGTTACTCAAAACGAAAGCAAAATAATATCGAACATGGAGAACGAAATAAAAAACACACAGAAAAGAAAATTCGAAAAACTTAAACAACAACAAATGATACAACTTGGCATAAAACAGAATGATAAATGGTTTGTAAACAAAACAAACACTCAATTCCCCGATGACGTGAAATGGCTTCTTTCGCTTGGAGAGAAATTTGGACTTCCAACAACAAAATCACAATTCCCACTATTTAAACTAATAGCAGACGGCGAAGACGTAATACAAACATGGAATGACAAAGAACAACAAGAAATGATGAGGACAAAGTTCACAACAATGATAGACACACATATGAATAAGATGAAAGAGAGTGAACGAGATAAATTTATCAACAGCACAGTGGGCCGCACCAAAACTTTTTTGAAACAAAATAAAAATATATTAATTTTAAATGCTGACAAAGGAAATGTTACGGTTGCAATGGACATTAATGACTACAAACAGAGGATGAACAGTATTATTTCAGATATGATGACATATCAACGGGTGAACAAAGATCCAACAACAGGTTTGATAAAAAAGAATAATGAACTGGTGGAGGAGCTATACAAAAACAACATTATTACGACAATGGAAAGGAAAAAACTCAGAAGTGACGTGGCTACAGCTCCAAGATTGTATGGACTACCAAAAATCCACAAGGTAGATTTCCCGTTACGCCCGATCTGTTCTTCAATCAATTCTCCGTCGGAAGAACTGTGCAAATATGTGGTTAAAATTTTAAAAAATCTTACCAAATTCTCCAAATATAACGTTCAAGACTCAATGGCGTTCAAAAACAAAGTTTTTTTTTTTTTTTTTTTTTTTTATTTATTTATTTATTCTATCATAGGAACATAGTATAGTTAGGATTATGTACAATATTTTGGGTTTCTATCTTAAAGATATTTCAACAAAATATAACATATTGGTAATTACTAAATACATTTTAAAAAATTCTATTTAATAGGAAAAAGATAGTAAAAAACCTATAATGTATTATCACAAAAGTTATTGATAAGTTTTAAAACAACATCTAATGACCGCTATACGAATAGTATAGTAGAGATTAGGTGTTATCAAATCAAACTTCTCAGATGGTCATACTTTGATCTTCTGCATTTTTCTTCAAATGACAGCGTCATATCATTTACCAAATTAATTATCATCTTCATGTGAGATCTTGAGTGTAATTCAAATGTAGAATATCTCCTTGGCAGGTCGTAAATTATCTTCAGGTTTTTGTTTTGTATTATTTGCAGCTTTTTTAAATGAGTTTTGGCACAATTATACCAAACTTGACAGCCATACGTTAGGATTGGCCTTATACACATTTTATATAACAGTAATTTATTTTTAAAATTTAATTTAGATTTTCTATTCAGAATGGGATATAGGGATCTTCCACTTCTTACCGCTTTGAGACAAGTCGCCTCCAAATGTTCTTTGAAGTTTAATTTTTCATCTAGGATAATGCCTAAATATTTAACGGATTTCGCAAATTGAAGTTCTTTGCCTTGTATCCACAATTTTTTAGAGGGAATTCTTTTAGGAGACTTATTATAAGGAAATATGATGGCTTGGGATTTCTCTTCGTTAATTTTTATTTTCCATTTGGAAAAATAATTGGAAGCTGATAGAAGAGCGTTCTGAATCCTGTTCACAATTGCGTTGGACACTTTTCCATGACAAATTATAGCACTGTCATCTGCATAAAAAGCTATATCATTTCCTCTGGAAATGTTAAAATCAGAGATGAATAGAGAATATAATATTGGAGAAAGTATTGAACCCTGAGGAACGCCAGCGGGGATATTACGCAACGATGATTGACTTCCTTGGACATCTACAGTGAACATTCTATTTTTGAGAAAACTTTTCACTAGTTTAGTTAGATATAATGGAATATTCACTTTATAGAGTTTGAAGATAAGGCCTCTATGCCAAATGGAGTCGAACGCCTTTTCTACATCAAGAAGAATAACGCCCGTTGAATACCTTCGTCTTTTATTTGATTTAATCAAATTGACTACTCTTCTAATTTGGTGTGTTGTAGAGTGTTCAGGTTTGAAACCAAATTGATATTTATGTATCAGATTATTCTCTTCTACGAATGTTTGAAGTCGTTGGAAGATAATTTTTTCAAAGAGTTTGCCTAAAGAGCTTAATAAGCTTATTGGCCGGTAATTAGAAGGAATTCTTTGATCAAAAATTGTATATTTTCAATAAGCAATTTACAGCAGAGTGAGGTAGATTTTTTAGCAATATATTATAAATTTGATCTATGCCAGGTGCTTTTGAGTTCTTAAGACATGAAATAAAATACTTAATTTCTTCAAAAGATGTTCTGGAGTTGGCATCTGTATGTGATGGAGTGATGTCTTTTTCCAAGAGATTATAAATATTATTAACCTTGATTTCCATTGAGCTAGAAGAGTTTAAGGTAATTAAATGAGCTTTTTCGAATTGGTCAGCAATTATATTTGCCTTTTCTTCATTGGATACTATTTCATTACCATTAGCTACTAGTGTTTTCATTGGAATATTTTTACCTCGGATTTTCTTTGCAATTTGCCAAAATTTTTTGCTGCCAGTAGGCAGAGTGGACAAAAAATTAGACCATTGGAGATTTCTTTCATTTTCTACATTTACTGAAATAAGTTTATTAAGCTCCTTGATGATGGCATTAATGGTTATTTTGACGTCTGGATCTACACAACGTTGAAATTTTCGTTTATATTTATTTCTTGTGGATATCAAGTATCTACAAAGATCGTTCACATTGCTTTTGTTATGTTTTTTGTGTTTAGTACATATTGACTCAAAACATGTGGATTTTAATATATTCGTAAATTCGTTTATCGATTCTTCAATGTTTGATAAAGATATGCTGCTATTGAGTAATGTGGAAGCCGTTATTTTTGAATTTATTAAAGTTGTAAAATTGTTCCAGTTGGCTTTATGGAAATCTAGATAAGTTGTTTCTGTATTGGAAATTTCTTCTTTAATGGAAAAAAGTAATGGCACATGATCGGAACGTAAAGTATGAGGATATGTTTCCAGGTCGGTGAATGACACTGTCGAGTTTGAAAGCAGAAGATCAATAGTTGAGGCTTGTCTATGGGTCAAATTTTGTGGAAATCTGGTGGGGTAAGGTGGGTAATATATATAGTAATTGTTATTATTTTGATGATTAAATAGAGCGTTTCCGGCAGGATCGGATTTTGTGCAGTTCCAACTGGGGTGTTGTGCATTTAAGTCGCCTAAAATGAAGAAATCCACCGTTTCTGATGTTATCATATCAAGGTCAAAGATAAAGTCAGATGTGTACCGAGGACAATATACAGATATGAATTTGATTTTGGAGTTGAGAAACTCGACGGTGATGCATATATTTTCTATCAGTTTTGTAGGATAGGATGAATCAATCTTGTGTTTCAAAGAAGATTTAATGGCGATTGCCACTCCTCCTCCATGGGAGCTTCTATCTTTTCTGTGTACTTTGTATCCAGGTAATTTTAAGTTATGATTTGGTTTAAGAAATGTTTCGTTCAGTAGGAGAATGTCAATGGATTTTTCTTTTAAAAATGTATAAAGCTCTGCAGACTGCGAGAGAGTGGTAATGCCTTGACAGTTCCAATGCATTACTCTAAGACTTGTTTGTATATGATTATATTGCATATTTTAGCATAGTCATAATAACATTTAATTGTTCCATTTTTGTTCTACATTTACGTAGATCTGATATCGCGTGAGTAAAAATTTGAAATAGTTCGTCAATACTGTAAAGTTCGGCCGTTGACCTTTTTTGAGCTGATGATTCAAGTAATCCGGCATATGAGATTTCCGGATTGAATGTTTTAGGGTCGTTTGGAGTATAGATTGAGTTTTTAAGTTGGGGAAATTCATTTGCGGCTATATCAAAGTTAACAGGACCAGGTCGTCTTTTTACAGACAATTTTTTCGTTAGATTTTCTCGAATTGCCAGGTACTCTTTTCGGCATGGACATCGTGGATCGTCGGCTCTATGGTTGTTGTTCTTAAAATTTTTCTTTGTGCAATTAAAACATTTGTATGCGGCAGGACTTCCTTGTGGATTTTTGTCTATTTGGCATATAGCTACGTCGTGATTACCACCGCAGGCCATGCATGCATTTTTTCTGAAACAATTTTTGGCTCCATGACCATGCATTGTACACTTTGTGCATTGAGTATAGCCTTTATTTCCTTTTAGAGGTTTTCTCCAGTGAATATTAATCTTACATACTTTCCTAATTTTGAGGATTTGGGCTTTACTGTTTACTGAACGATCGAACTCAGTCATATAAATTGCATCACTTTCAGAAGAACGAGCGGTTTTAATTTCTTTGATATTGACAACATTAATGTTGTAGGAATTTTTTAATTCGTCTTTGATCTCACTGGTATTAAGTTGCGGGAGGCCATAGAGTACCATTTTAAATACCTTGGTGTCTTTGCACTCATGAGAGTAGAAAGTATACCCTGAGTCAATAAGTTTCTTTTTTGCTTGCTCAAAGAGTGTGATTGAAGGTGAGATAATTTTAGTACCGATGGACATTCTCTTATATGTATATAATGTGCCAATCAATTTGTACACACTTAGGAACTTGTGCTCAGCATCCACAACAATTGGAGGAACAACAATTTTGTACTCTCGTACTTCACTCTCTCCTTCGCTGTAGGTATCACCGTCGTCGTCATTGTCAAATGACTGAAGTATGTTAAAACGGTTCTCACTAGTTTTATATTTTTCTTTTGGCGCTCTTCCTGACACCATCTTTCGTTTTAGTGAATGCATTTGAATGTACCACTAATAGTTGTTATTGGTTTTTCAATATTAGATTGGTTCGATTTTTATAACAGTGATTACACTGGCTTTGTTGGTAGAGTAGACCGTGCTACGCGACGGAGGAAAAAAAAAAATATACGTCTGCTTGCGATCAATGATAGCATACGACTGGCAAAAACAAAGTTAAAAATATGACGATTAAAGAAAATGACAGGATGGTTTCGTTTGACGTAGTATCACTCTTCCCAAGCATACCGATAGATCTTGGTATTCAAATAATCGACGAAAGGTGGGAAGAACTAAAAGAATACACAAATATGACAAAGGGCCTATTTTTAAGTATTCTAAAATTTTGCATTAAAGACAACCGATATTTCAAATACGACGACAAGATATATAAACAAAAGAAAGGACTGCCAATGGGTTCACCAGCTTCTCCAGTTGTGGCGGATATAGTCATGGAGAAACTCTTAGACACCTGCATGGAAAAACTGACAACAAAACCCAAAATATTAACGAAATACGTGGACGATCTTTTTGTGATAACTGGGGAAGATGCAATCAATGATACATTGAATATACTTAACAGTTTCAGCAACAATATCAAATTCACCATGGAGGATGAAATGAATGGATGTTTACCATATCTAGACACAATAATATATAGAAATAAGGACAAATTAGAATTAGACTGGTATCAGAAACCCACGGCATCGGGAAGAATTATAAATTTCTTTTCGAAACATCCCAAGCAAATGATTATAAACACTGCAAAAAATTTAGTACATAGAGTAATGAGCATTAGTGACGAGAAATTCCATAACAAGAACAAACACAAAATCCGAGATATTCTAACAAACAACAATTTTCCAATAAGAATAATAAATAGATTAATAGGACGACGGAATACTACTAGAGAAACCCAAAAAGATGAAAAGATATATAAATCTATGATTTACGTACCAAATTTATCAGAACGATTCCAGAACTCAAATTTATATGATAAGAACAAATATATAATAGCCCAGAAAAACAACAACACTCTCAAAAAGCTATTTAGCCATACAAAAGACAAAATACAAAATCCTGATAAACACAATGTGATATACCAAATACAATGCGATGGCAACCCTAACGAAAAATGTGGGAAATATTATGTTGGTACCACAAAAAATAAATTGAAAACTAGACTATCAGCCCATAAGTCTGATTTAAAAATGAGAAACCAAAATTACACACAAAAAACAGCGCTTGCGGAACACTGTATATCAAGCAACCATCAGCCAAACCTTGAACAAGTAAAAATACTGCAAACGGAAAACCATTACCACAGAAGACTCACATTAGAAATGTTACACATCAACAATCTACACACAACAGAGAGAATAAATTTTAAGAGCGACACAGATAACGCAGCTTATTGCTATAGGCATTTGACACAAAAGAAGAGATCGTGCAATATGTAAACAAAATCAGTGCAATATTAACAGCCGACGATGATAGTGCATTCTATCGTAGTTATTAAGTTAACTTGACGATTATTGTTTACAAGTAAGCGATTTTTGTGTAATAACATTGTGTTTGTTTCTATTTTTAATCAATGCTGTGATAGTAATATTAAGAATATTATATTATCTTGTAGATCCCCTGAAGATGCAATTTATACAATTGCGAAATATCGGAGATCAAAAATGAAATAAAATAAAAAACTGGCCTAAAGCTCAAAAAAACTCATATTATTAAATATATTGGAAAATAGGTCGAAAAAACTCACACTTATAATATATAACACGGAGAGCACGCCGAATACCAACAACATGATCTACAGAAACATCAAGTATAAAAACAACATCAAACACAGCATTAACAAACACAAAAACACAAAAGTGAAGATTGCCAAAACAAAATGCTCTTTAACTTTTCTAATTCGATGTCGTAACAACGGCATCATTCCTAACTTTATTAAAAATGCCTTAAAAAATATTCACAATATTTTTAAGACACCTCAAATATACCACATTAAAAATACATTAAAGGGATACATTGATACTTTTCAAAACAAGATTCTCAATCTACTAATTAAACAGAAACATTACGAAATAAAGAACAATCAAAGGGATCAACAAAATATAGAAAAAACTTTGGGAGAAAATCTAACACAACAAGAGATAAACATAGTTACTCAAAACGAAAGCAAAATAATATCGAACATGGAGAACGAAATAAAAAACACACAGAAAAGAAAATTCGAAAAACTTAAACAACAACAAATGATACAACTTGGCATAAAACAGAATGATAAATGGTTTGTAAACAAAACAAACACTCAATTCCCCGATGACGTGAAATGGCTTCTTTCGCTTGGAGAGAAATTTGGACTTCCAACAACAAAATCACAATTCCCACTATTTAAACTAATAGCAGACGGCGAAGACGTAATACAAACATGGAATGACAAAGAACAACAAGAAATGATGAGGACAAAGTTCACAACAATGATAGACACACATATGAATAAGATGAAAGAGAGTGAACGAGATAAATTTATCAACAGCACAGTGGGCCGCACCAAAACTTTTTTGAAACAAAATAAAAATATATTAATTTTAAATGCTGACAAAGGAAATGTTACGGTTGCAATGGACATTAATGACTACAAACAGAGGATGAACAGTATTATTTCAGATATGATGACATATCAACGGGTGAACAAAGATCCAACAACAGGTTTGATAAAAAAGAATAATGAACTGGTGGAGGAGCTATACAAAAACAACATTATTACGACAATGGAAAGGAAAAAAACTCAGAAGTGACGTGGCTACAGCTCCAAGATTGTATGGACTACCAAAAATCCACAAGGTAGATTTCCCGTTACGCCCGATCTGTTCTTCAATCAATTCTCCGTCGGAAGAACTGTGCAAATATGTGGTTAAAATTTTAAAAAATCTTACCAAATTCTCCAAATATAACGTTCAAGACTCAATGGCGTTCAAAAACAAAGTTAAAAATATGACGATTAAAGAAAATGACAGGATGGTTTCGTTTGACGTAGTATCACTCTTCCCAAGCATACCGATAGATCTTGGTATTCAAATAATCGACGAAAGGTGGGAAGAACTAAAAGAATACACAAATATGACAAAGGGCCTATTTTTAAGTATTCTAAAATTTTGCATTAAAGACAACCGATATTTCAAATACGACGACAAGATATATAAACAAAAGAAAGGACTGCCAATGGGTTCACCAGCTTCTCCAGTTGTGGCGGATATAGTCATGGAGAAACTCTTAGACACCTGCATGGAAAAACTGACAACAAAACCCAAAATATTAACGAAATACGTGGACGATCTTTTTGTGATAACTGGGGAAGATGCAATCAATGATACATTGAATATACTTAACAGTTTCAGCAACAATATCAAATTCACCATGGAGGATGAAATGAATGGATGTTTACCATATCTAGACACAATAATATATAGAAATAAGGACAAATTAGAATTAGACTGGTATCAGAAACCCACGGCATCGGGAAGAATTATAAATTTCTTTTCGAAACATCCCAAGCAAATGATTATAAACACTGCAAAAAATTTAGTACATAGAGTAATGAGCATTAGTGACGAGAAATTCCATAACAAGAACAAACACAAAATCCGAGATATTCTAACAAACAACAATTTTCCAATAAGAATAATAAATAGATTAATAGGACGACGGAATACTACTAGAGAAACCCAAAAAGATGAAAAGATATATAAATCTATGATTTACGTACCAAATTTATCAGAACGATTCCAGAACTCAAATTTATATGATAAGAACAAATATATAATAGCCCAGAAAAACAACAACACTCTCAAAAAGCTATTTAGCCATACAAAAGACAAAATACAAAATCCTGATAAACACAATGTGATATACCAAATACAATGCGATGGCAACCCTAACGAAAAATGTGGGAAATATTATGTTGGTACCACAAAAAATAAATTGAAAACTAGACTATCAGCCCATAAGTCTGATTTAAAAATGAGAAACCAAAATTACACACAAAAAACAGCGCTTGCGGAACACTGTATATCAAGCAACCATCAGCCAAACCTTGAACAAGTAAAAATACTGCAAACGGAAAACCATTACCACAGAAGACTCACATTAGAAATGTTACACATCAACAATCTACACACAACAGAGAGAATAAATTTTAAGAGCGACACAGATAACGCAGCTTATTGCTATAGGCATTTGACACAAAAGAAGAGATCGTGCAATATGTAAACAAAATCAGTGCAATATTAACAGCCGACGATGATAGTGCATTCTATCGTAGTTATTAAGTTAACTTGACGATTATTGTTTACAAGTAAGCGATTTTTGTGTAATAACATTGTGTTTGTTTCTATTTTTAATCAATGCTGTGATAGTAATATTAAGAATATTATATTATCTTGTAGATCCCCTGAAGATGCAATTTATACAATTGCGAAATATCGGAGATCAAAAATGAAATAAAATAAAAAACTGGCCTAAAGCTCAAAAAAACTCATATTATTAAATTTTATTTATTTTTTAAAAGAATAAATACATATACAAAAGTTTTACATATATTTTGACATTACCAGACTGTAAAATTTTTACACCATTGAAAATAGGTTCAATCTCCGATTTATGCAATGGATTCATAATTACACATTTTAAAAATGAGATGTTGTCAAATGTGTAATAATTTGAAAATTAACATATTTGCTATATTCCAGAACCTGGAAGAATCTACTAGTTTTGCAATTTTCTTCGATATCATAAAGGGAAAATCGGCTATCGTGGTAAAAACTTTTACATTCTTGCGGTTAAGGAACAGACAAATTATTGCAACATCACGGAATACTCTTTTATGAAGAAGCCAGCCCATGACTTAAGCCATTAAAAAAGCTTTATTCTTATAAAAAAGAAAGGCTACTAAAGATTTTTGTTTAACTCTTTTTAAAAAATCTTTTAAATTTCATTCATTTCATTCATAGTCCTTTCGATGGTCTTCCTTGCTATAATTCCTTTTGTTACTGTTGGACTTGGTCCTTTTCTATTTCGTTTTTTTTTGCTCCGGCATCTTCTAAAATATTTAAAGTCATGCTTGATAACTATAAAATGAATTACTGCATTTTGTTGATGTGTTTAGTCCGAAAAATTGCATTCATTTCATGCATAGTCCTTTCGATGGTCTTCCTTGCTATAATTCCTTTTGTTACTGTTGGACTTGGTTCTTTTCTATTTCGCTTTTTTTTTTGCTCCGGCATCTTTTAAAATATTTAGTCACGCTTGATAACTATAAATTGAATTACTGCATTCTGTTGATGTGTTTAGTCTGAAAAAAATGAAGTTATAGAAATTACAGAATGCCTATTTATATTTAATCTTACCGTAAGAATTTGGTTAGAAACATGTTCTAATATGTGAATATAAGCAAGCTATAGCTAGAGCAAAGAAGCAATCCTGGGAACTGCGGATAACTTTAGAGCACCGGAGACACAACCGGACTGAATAAAATAATGTCAAAAGATATCCTCTTTGAAATGATTCACAAGATATATGGATACTTTATGCGAGATCAGTTCTTTACGAAGCAACATTCAATATTAGGCTACGCTCTGAAGAAGGACTCCACGTAATCCAGACTGCATCTTAGCTGTTTCACTTACCCCCCTAAACTATTTTAGGGTAAAATACATTTTGCTGGGGAGTTATTTAATTTGTATTTGTAATAACAGCCATAGCAAATAAACTTCACTGTCGATTTTAATTAGCAACTTTGTACGTCCATTTTCACCAAAGCGTACATAGACATGTTATGCAGGTGTGTGTGTGTACTTTAGGAGCGATACGATCTATAAAAGCAATGGTTTCTCTTGTTTTGAATTAGTTAAGCGAGGTGATCAACATAGCCCAGTCATGAAGGTTTTTGTAAGTTGTTGCCAAAAATCAGGAAGGTTAAATATTTATCCAAAATCTCGTTCTAGGTATTGTATTTTGCCGTTATAGTATGTTTTGCAATTTCAAATTCAATAGCACGCTCTCTAAATTATCCGACACCAATTAATCCTAGTGTTTTAATAGAAACAAAACCAGAGGAAAAAGTAATTCTCATTTCTGATATTAAAGAAATCAGCAAATTTAAACGTGAAACCAGCAAGCCCTTCTATCCGACAATTACCCCAGAACAAGCGCATCACATTAGTAAACGCGAAAATGTGTTCCGACATTCTGTTCGATACAAACGGGATATACCAGTGCCTTTGGTAGCAAAGCACAAACATCCCGAAATATCTGCTTCTGAAAACGGCGACCACAAATCAACTGATGAAAATGTTGAAAGTTTTGCCAATGACCAAGTTGTCAAAGATAAGTACAAACAGGATGCAGCTAAATCAGAAGGAAGCCAGCCAGTATCACACCCTGACCACACACCTGAAACTTTAACTACACACTCTGTTATCAGACCCAAACCAGTATCAGTTTCAGAGCTTTTTTCTAGGTAAAATTCAATGTGAATCTATTTTTACATAATCTGAAAATTTGTATTTTTTCAGACATCATGAAACCGATGATAAATAATTAACGTGTTTTCTAGTTTAAGTGCGAACTAATAAAGGTGCTAATTTTTGAAATAAACAATGCTGTTTAAGCATACATGTGTACATACAAACATATTTGTGTTGATGTCATGACTAGAACGGTAGTTTAATCTCGAAGGAAGTAGGTAAAAACCAACTATGTACTAGATCCTTAGAATGTCAAAATGACATTCAAAATTTTATTTGGAAAAATACAACAAATCATGAATGTTATGTTAAAGATTTCCCATAAAATTGAGTGCAAAGACTGGATTTTTTATAAAGGAAAGAAATGTCAAATGAACGTTTTTATAAAGATTTCATTTCACATTTTCATCCCCAGGGTAGAAGGAGAACCTTTCTTATTTTTTAGAAACTTTACAAATGTGAAATTATTGAATATTTGTGTAGTGGCAAAATTAAATTTTGCTGTGATTTTCTGACAACGTAGCATTACATTGATATTGCAAAATTGTTAAAATGTTTTGTCAAAAATAAGTAGATTTTTATACGTTTTCTAATACGACGCAAATTGGAGGTTGTTATGACATGCAATTTTTACAAATATCAACAATTTTTTTCGTTTAACATTTTTAATTTCAAATTAGGTTTGACGGTTCATTGTCCCAGCAGCTGTGTCGATGCGTCTACCTGTATTTTTCTACCATGTGTTATACATACAAAAAATGACAACAAACATATTCGCCACAAAATTCGTCTGTCAAGGCGAAAATATTTATTTTCGCCTCAAGCATGAATTTTGACATTTCATATGGTAAAATACATGTACAGACATATTGTTTGCTTAAGTGTGTTTTTGGTCTGATAAGAGCAGGAGAATAAAATATATGTCTTCAATCGTTTGTTTTGTAGAATATTTTGTATCCTTGTAGTCAGCATCAAAACTTTAAACTTCAAAACTTTAAACCGATACGAGTGATGTCCATTGACAAAACTGGCTGCTAATAGTGTTGGGAGGTTTTTGATTTTATTGATTTTCATAAAAATAATTAAATAATGGACAAATCTTCCCATGATTTCTCGAAGTTAATTGGAAGCGTTAGCCTGGAGAAAGAGGTTTGTGGCACCTATTATGGTTGTGTCATCATTATAATTATCTTTTTTTTTTATAGATTGATCCCATTTGCATGAGCATCGACGATATGATAACTCGACTGGATGAGCTGGAATCACTTTTGGCCAATGTAAAGTGTGAATCTAATCGTTACTCTTTTGTATAATTTAATAATTTGATAAAAAAAAAAATAGGCGAATTATCCGCTTTTCAAAGATTTGATTTAATATACCAAAGAGCTTTCACGACCACCTTCAGTAGAATAAAAAAAAACAATTAATTTTATTTCATCATTTCATTTTCCATATTTCGATCGGCGTCGACGATCATCTTCAGGGACTGACATTTGTTTATATTCCCAAAACAACTTTACTTCCGCATACAAATCTTTGTAGAGTGTTGTGGAAGTAAAGTGGTTTTGAGAATATAAACAAATGAAATGATGAAATATCGATCGTGAACCATGCCGATCGAAATATTGGAAATAAAATTTATAGTTTTTTTTATTTTACTGACCTCGAGCCAAACTAGATAAAAAATAAAAAGAACATTGAGACCAGAGGCCAACTTAAACAATACAAACATATGTAAATGTTAATGTAAAGTAAAAACAGAATAATTGTCCTATCACGATTTATCAGTAACAACACTAAAAGTTTCACATGGTAGTCTATCTATAATACGTAAAACTTTGGTTCTGCTTTGTCCTTAATCCCTCGAATGTAATTGGTATATTATTGTTATTTTAATCATATTTTTTCTTGCAGGTCAAGGGCGTATCAAATATAATTATAGATCAGTATACAAGTGGAGTGTTGACATTTCTTCCTAAATTCATGGAATTAAAAAGTCGAATTGATAATTTGGAAAAGTTTGTCCAAGTTGTAGACGATAATATGAATCAAATGGAAAAGACTATCGATTTAGCAGAACATGAACTCAACGTAACAGACTACAGCCTTAAAGGCTTGATTTTGAAACCATTGCTGACGAAAACATTGCCGATTTCTACGCCAAATGGAGAAGAAACGGCATCATCGACAAAATCGGATGCAAGCATTGAATACCAGCCCATTCAAATTTTTAACTCAAAGCTATATTTTGATAATAAAATTACAAAAAACAATTAAGCATTCTGTAGTATATTCATGTCGTCTACCTTGCATCCCCTCTAAGACTAGCAGTTTTAATGCATAGTTAGTAATTAAGCATGGTGCAATTATGTTTCGACTCAATCTAATAATAACACAGATAATTTAAAGTTTTGCTACACCATTTTATTTATCCAATTCATTAATTCATTCAGTTTAATTTGATGATAAAAATTGGAATGTTACCAGGGTAGAATTGAAATGTTACCGTGGTAACCTTTATTGAAATAAGCATAACCAGCTCTATATTTGCTGTAATTTACCTCGTCAAATTTAATAACATACAAAACAGGTCCCATTTTACGTTTGGATTTATGTATTCACTTTTTAAAAAGAAGAAATGATCAAGTGTTTAACTAAAAAATTAAACACATGAATGCAGAAAGTTACCTTATTAATCCATCATGGTTTCCCTTTAATTATCAGACATGCCACAGAGACGAATCCAATCAAAAAATTATTCATTTCTGAAAACTAAACAATCTGGACTTAACATTATTTTTCATAATGGTATTGTTTGATTGATTTCTTTGATTCCTGCTGCCATATTAACCCTGAATAATAAGATTTTCTTTATTCAACAAATCGATGGGAATCTGAAGAAGCTAAATCAAAAACAATTGATTGTAAATGACGGAATTGGAACCATGCCTGTACTTTCAGTTTTTCTTTTTTTTATAGTTCTTTGACTAGTGTCGATGGAATTCAACTGAATTTGAAAATTTTCAATATTATTTTATTTATTTTTTAAAAGAATAAATACATATACAAAAGTTGTACATATATTTTGACATTACCAGACTGTCAAATTTTTACACCATTGAAAATAGGTTCAATCTCTGATTTATGCAATGGATTCATAATTACACATTTTAAAAATGAGATGTTGTCAAATGTGTAATAATTTGAAAATTAACATATTTGCTATGTTCCAGAACCTGGAAGAATCTACTAGTCTTGCAATTTTCTTCGATATCATAAAGGGAAAATCGGCTATCGTGGTAAAAACTTTTACATTCTTGCGGTTATGGAACAGACAAATTATTGCAAAATCATGGAATACTCTTTTATGAAGAAGCCAGCCCATGACTTAAGCCATTAAAAAAGCTTTATTCTTATAAAACAGAAAGGCTACTAAAGATTTTTGTTTAACTCTTTTTAAAAAATCTTTTAAATTTCATTCATTTCATTCATAGTCCTTTCGATGGTCTTCCTTGCTATAATTCCTTTTGTTACTGTTGGACTTGGTCCTTTTCTATTTCGTTTTTTTTTTTGCTCCGGCATCTTCTAAAATATTTAAAGTCATGCTTGATAACTATAAAATGAATTACTGCATTTTGTTGATGTGTTTAGTCCGAAAAATTGCATTCATTTCATGCATAGTCCTTTCGATGGTCTTCCTTGCTATAATTCCTTTTGTTACTGTTGGACTTGGTTCTTTTCTATTTCGCTTTTTTTTTTGCTCCGGCATCTTTTAAAATATTTAGTCACGCTTGATAACTATAAATTGAATTACTGCATTTTGTTGATGTGTTTAGTCTGAAAAAAAAATGAAGTTATAGAAATTACAGAATCCCTATTTTTATTTAATCTTACCGTAAGAATTTGGTTAGAAACATGTTCTAATATGTGAATATAAGCAAGCTATAGCTAGAGCAAAGAAGCAATCCTGGGAACTGCGGATAACTTTAGAGCACCGGAGACACAACCGGACTGAATAAAATAATGTCAAAAGATATCCTCTTTGAAATGATTCACAAGATATATGGATACTTTAGGCGAGATCAGTTCTTTACGAAGCAACATTCAATATTAGGCTACGCTCTGAAGAAGGACTCCGCGTAATCCAGACTGCATCTTAGCTGTTTCACTTACCCCCCTAAACTATTTTAGGGTAAAATACATTTTGCTGGGGAGTTATTAAATTTGTATTTGTAATAACAGCCATAGCAAATAAACTTCACTGTCGATTTTAATTAGCAACTTTGTACGTCCATTTTCACCAAAGCGTACATAGACATGTTATGCAGGTGTGTGCGTACTTTAGGAGCGATACGATCTATAAAATGCAATGGTTTCTCTTGTTTTGAATTAGTTAAGCGAGGTGATCAACATAGCCCAGTCATGAAGGTTTTTGTAAGTTGTTGCCAAAAATCAGGAAGGTTAAATATTTATCCAAAATCTCGTTCTAGGTATTGTATTTTGCGGTTATAGTCTGTTTTGCCATTTCAAATTCAATAGCAAGCTCTCTAAATTATCCGACACCAATTAATCCTAGTGTTTTAATAGAAACAAAACCAGAGGAAAAAGTAATTCTCATTTCTGATATTAAAGAAATCAGCAAATTTAAACGTGAAACCAGCAAGCCCTTCTATCCGACAATTACCCCAGAACAAGCGCATCACATTAGTAAACGCGAAAATGTGTTCCGACATTCTGTTCGATACGAACGGGATATACCAGTGCCTTTGGTAGCAAAGCACAAACATCCCGAAATATCTGCTTCTGAAAACGGCGACAGCAAATCAACTGATGAAAATGTTGAAAGTTTTGCCAATGACCAAGTTGTCAAAGATAAGTACAAACAGGATGCAGCTAAATCAGAAGGAAGCCAGCCAGTATCACACCCTGACCACACACCTGAAACTTTAACTACACACTCTGTTATCAGACCCAAACCAGTATCAGTTTCAGAGCTTTTTTCTAGGTAAAATTCAATGTGAATCTATTTTTACATAATCTGAAAATTTGTATTTTTTCAGACATCATGAAACCGATGATAAATAATTAACGTGCGAACTAATAAAGGTGCTAATTTTTGAAATAAACAATGCTGTTTAAGCATACATGTGTACATATAAAAACATATTTGTATTGATGTCATGACTAGAAAGGTAGTTTATTCTCGAAGGAAGTAGGTAAAAACCAACTATGTACTAGATCCTTAGAGTGTCAAAATGACATTCAAAATTTTATTTGGAAAAATACAACAAATCATGAATGTTATGTTAAAGATTTCCCATAAAATTGAGTGCAAAGACTGGATTTTTTTATAAAGGAAAGAAATGTCAAATGAACGTTTTTATAAAGATTTCATTTCACATTTTCATCCCCAGGGTAGAAGGAGAACCTTTCTTATTTTTTAGAAACGTTACAAATGTGAAATTTTTGAATATTTGTGTAGTGGCAAAATTAAATTTTGCTGTGATTTTCTGACTACGTAGCATTACATTGATATTGCAAAATTGTTAAAATGTTTTGTCAAAAATAAGTAGATTTTTATACGTTTTCTAATACGACGCAAATTGGAGGTTGTTATGACATGCAATTTTTACAAATATCAACAATTTTTTTCGTTTAACATTTTTAATTTCAAATTAGGTTTGACGGTTCATTGTCCCAGCAGCTACGTCGATGCATCTACCTGTATTTTTCTACCATGTGTTATACATACAAAAAATGACAACAAACATATTCGCCACAAAATGAATTTTGACATTTCATATGGTAAAATAACAGCTGTTTTTAGATTAATTCGCTCGAAGGAAGACCTTATAATTGGGCCATGGTCCTTAATTATTATTGTGACATTTTAATGCTTGTTTTGTTTAAGTAATTCGCCACCTGGATGGTTTGAAAAGACGTTGGCCATTGGTTCTGTCAGGTCAAGGTAAATCTACTATGTAGTCGCATAACCCCAGCTGACGGCACCTTTAAATGTCAAAACAAGTTGTTGTAATGATTAATTCGCCTTAAATGAATGCAACACAAAAACAAAGTTTGTTTATGTCTTCTCCACTAAAAGTGTTTTACGATAAAAACTTTTTTTAAAAATGAATAAGGCTGGAAATACATAAAGCGCTTATCTGGCTGGCTTAAGTCATCGACTGGCTTCTTCGTAGATGAACAAAGGAGTTTTAGGTTGACCTAGTTCGATTTTGGCCCTAGACTCCTTTGTTCATTTCCGAAGAAGCTAGCCGATGACTTAAGGCAGCCAAATAAGTGCTTTATGTATTTCCAGCTTAAATATTCGTCAATATATTTTAATAACACTCTTTATTTATTGGTAAAATTTCTAACATACAGGACATTCTTGAAGATTATTCTCAAATCATATACTGTTATTGCTCACTTATTTATTCTCTCTTATTCATTCTATCCACCAAGTGGCTACAAGTTTGATTGCTGGGCATTCTTAAAGGGCTTTTACTGGTGGCTATATTGGTGATATGTTCTGGGCTTGTATAAACATTTCGGGCTAACTATCAACTTGGGGCTTTTGTAATGGTCCCCGAGAGTAGTATTATTACTTGGCTTAATTTCCACACAACATTATATGTAAACAAACACCTCGTTTCTGATTGGTTGAAACAAATTTGCAACAAACTTTAAATGTCATGGCGAATGTATGCTTTTCGTAAATTTTGACATTTGAGGGTACCAAAAAAGTTGCTTTGTTGTAGCAATTCGCCGATGCGGTTACCTGTTAAATCTACCTTGTGTCAGGTATTGTTGTTTACAATCTAGCTGTGAGATTATTGACGTGTTGTGTGTATTTGCAAATTGGATTGTACTCAAAGCTTCGTAGAAATGATTAAATACATTTTATGCCTTGTAAGTTTTGCATGACTATAGTAATCCTTTATTGATGATTATCTGATTGCAGTCAATTATCCACTTGGTCACCACAGAATTTACGGCTCAAGACTGTCGAGAGCTGGGGTTTTTAAAGGGTCAGCTTATGTGTTCTAGTTGCGAGAAATTGGATGATTTTGCTTTGGAAGCACTCAAGTAAACTTTCGCAACATGTACGATTAATAAAATTTAGAAATTTATGGTGTTTCTATTTTATTGCAGACCACATTGCAGGGAGTGTTGTACTCTAGATCAACTGCCAGCAGCTGATCGTCGGTACCCAAAGGCTATTTTGGAAGTTTGTACTTGCAAGTTCCGTGCTTATCCGCAAATCCAGGCTTTCATAAAAAGTGGGCGTCCTGCTAAATTCCCTAATTTAACTATTAAATACGTTCGAGGTTTAGACCCTATTGTCAAATTATTGGATAACAGTGGCACTGTCAAAGAGACACTTTCGATTACAAAATGGAATACTGACACCGTTGAAGAATTCTTTGAAACTCACTTAGAAAATGTGGGTACTGTCGGATCCAAGGCGTCGTTCAGTGTTATAGAGGAAGAGGACGAGAGCGATTATCTTAAAACAAATAGGGTGTGACGCTTGCATAAATCATAGCAAAAATTACCATAGAAAATAAATGGAATACAAATGCTTAAAAAAATATGATTGTTTTAGGAGCAATTCATTTTATCAGGTGATTGCCTACAAATACAAACAAATTAAATGATCTTTAGATTTCAACATCCAATTAATCTATTGCGAGCAGAAAACAAAAACAAAACAAATTATTATATTAGAAGGTTGCCTACAATTCTGTACTAAAGTTTAGTAACATCTAGCAACTACCATAAAACTAATTCCTCTCCATTTGAAATTTCCTTTCTAGACAACTTTATTTCAGATACATTAGTGTTTTACTCGTAAGGAAAGGTTCCAAAAACTTTTAGAAGGAAGAAAGAACATCTGAGCGTTTTCTGCTTCATAAATTTGGTTATTGTTATAAAAGCAATCAATTTCCACACCATTGTAAAATTTTTGTGCTTTGGAGATAATTTTTACAATTTCCATTTTTTGTAAAACTTACGAGATTTTAGTAGAATTTCGGTTATATAAACAATTTTTGGTGTATTTGAATGCATATTAAAATAAGAACAAAAAGGGAATATATTATACCAACGATACTTTTAAATTATGAACTAATTAAAATTAGGAATTTAGAGTTCCTAATAAAGTCTACTTCCCGTGGCAGAACATTGTACATACAGGTATACGTTTCCGATAACAGTACATTTACATATTCAGTATTTTGCTTATATTTATCACCTTTAGCAAAACCAAATGGCCATTTCATAAACACTATTGCAATCGAATCGAAGTTGTGTTTCAGATCTTTGCAAAGTTTTATCGTGAGTAGTTACATGGTAAATCTTGTCTTACTGAAAATAACATGGAATCTAGACTTACCGTAAGTAATTTAATTAATTCAAAATTTATATACGAGAACGTTTGTTTTTGTGGATATAATGTCAGAGAAGACCATTGAATTAGATTGAAATTGAAGAATGATGTGAGTGATGAAGTTGATCCTAATATTTAACTTGAGAAGGAAGAATGTTCGTCTTCAGAATTCAATCAATTTCCAGTGATATAGAAGCAATCAATCAGTCGTATCTAATAGAACTGGATTTTTTCCATGAAAATGGGAAAAAAAGGTGAAGTACAATAACTCCTTCACAATGTCTAAGTCGTGCACTAAGTGAAACGCCTTATGTGACTGCTTACGTTATGGTGCGGAAACTTTTCATGGTGGAGAATATCGACACCGTCCATCCATTCATGTGTTCTTAATTTTTTCATTTTTTGTGCGCTATTAGAATAATTATTAATGAGTCAATGAGGAGGTCTACCTGATTGGCTTGTAATGCCAGAATTACTATCAAAACAATCAAAAACCAAACAACTTGTTGCATTGATTTTGAATAAATAATTAAAAACCTCGAAAACTGAATGAAATGTCAACATTTCTTTTCAAAATCACGTTCTATATATCTATAAAGGTTTATTTCGCTACACAAACTGTAGATATTGTAGATGCGTACGTTGCTATAAGCATTTTGAAAACACCCGAATTTGAATATTTTCTAAAAATTGAAGCTTAGTAATATAAACAACTATCTCGGCCTCATTTGTTCCAAAGCCAAAGGTCCGCATTTTACAACTACAATTAATATTTGAAAATCCTTGGTTGTTGGCACAATTTAACATTGTATAATAATTTACGGATTTACTTCCAATGAAAAGAAATACCGATGTGAATTGATGCTTTGGAACAGCGACAGGCCCACTACTATCTTTTTACCACTCGAAGCTCTACATGTTGAGGGAAAATTTTATGATTTTTGTAGTACACACGTTGAAGCGAAACCCCTAATATGTGTTGTCAACCTTGAAGTATTTGGAACTCTTCTTAAAAATAGAAGTAGCATCTTTAATGACATTATGGGCATTTGCATCGTATGGATACCATCACAACATTTAGGTATATTTTTTACTTTTTTTATTTATATAACATTTCGAGTCTTCTGACAATGGTACATGGGTGCTATAAAGAGTTTAGGAACAAGTTTTCTCCACTTAGCTATGATACATTATAAGGAATCATATTTTAAATTTATTGTTGATGTTTGTGTAAGGATAAAAATGGGTGCTATAAAGAGTTTAGGAACAAGTTTTCTCCACTTAGCTATGATACATTATAAGGAATCATATTTTAAATTTATTGTTGATGTTTGTGTAAGGATAAAAAATAACCTATTTGGTTGACGAATTGGGATGGATGGGTTCCTATACCCGTTTATGAAGCAAGTTCATTGATGTAACTATAACACGAGGATATAATTCGTGTCTCAAAAATAGTCATATATTTATCCAGTTGGTGGTGATCTTATTTATTTTATCGAAGACTTAAGAGATGTGGTCCCGAAATTTACTTTACTGTCTAAAGGACAATGACTTTGCATACAATATATCAAAAAAAGGCCTAAATCAGCCTTACATTTCGGAAATCATATGTTTCCCTTTTGAGTCCACTTAGCGTGTATAAATCATCTAATAAGGAAAAATGTCACACCAAATGGCTAGCATTATTTACTTTTCTTAGATTAGGTAGTCCAAAAAGTTCTAGAAATCAATATAATCGACTGCATTTTACGCCCGTCTCTAAGTTGCAAGCTGTTTATTGAAAATATGTAATTTCTTCGATAATACAGGTTTACCATATCCCTTTTATGCTTCTGGTGGTCAGTTTCGCATCCTCCGCAATCAAGCTAAGCTCTGAAAAAGTTCTTGATTTTTACACAAAAGACAATCGGCACAAAATTAGATCAGCGCGTATCGTTCACCATATATTAGTATCACATAAACTTATTTCCTAACATAAAAATAATATCAATAAACACATATGGTCAGAATTACTCGGTGTCTAATTTCTTTTTTAAATTGAATTATATATTTGAAAAAGATACCAGACTAAACGCTACCTTGACACATCGGCCGAATGCAAGTCAATATACAGAAAACAGAGGAGGAAGTGTTTTGAATTAGTAAGATACAGACTTTAAAGCTTCCTCTGCTGTTTTATTATCGTACTCCGCAATATCGGAATCAACCATGCCATTGTTTCCATATTCGGTTCTGTTTGTCTCGTCGATTACTGCAATGAATACATAATATATTCTTAAAAAATGAGTGCATGAATATACCCCTAAAGATGGGCACATGCGTTTCTTCGCGAATACATTCGATGAATATAAACTAAGAATAATGAACTTTTTATGGCATTCCTAATTCGGCTTGCCACGTTGGACTGAGCGCGAGCAATGATCCGATGAAAGGGTGTCACATCTGTTAATGACGTTTTAATTATGGCTTACTCGAAGCATTTTGCAGATCGGAAACATTGTCCTGAATATATTACACATTTGGCACTCCACTGAGAGTGTCGAAACACAAATATGCCGTTAATGTAAAACGCCACTTTTATTTTTGAACTCGTTCTCACCTAAGTGCGCCTCGTCTATTCTATTTTATTATTAATGGCATTTTCCACAAACTTTGAGGTGGATTGAGAATATCTGGATTGGCGAAGGAAGCTAAATTCTAAATGAATACAAACACCGTGTAATTTTAAAATTTAAAGATTTATTTAAATTTAATTTGAAACAAATAACTTTGTTATTATTACATTATACATTAAGGGGATTCTTATTTTGACTGTTCTTTATTATTTTAAATTATTAAATATATTACAATTATACAGTATAGCTTACATAAGTATGTTTTATATGTTCGTAATTAAAAATGTATGCAAAAAACAAATGAATACATTTATTAACTCTTTGAGAAGAAAAATGTACAATAGTTAAAAACGCAATATATTACTTTTTTATAATTTGATTGAAAGCAATTGTTTTTATATTTTACAAGTTCGCATTTGACGAAGGACTTGTAGAGGGTCGAAAATACAATGTAATTATATTTCTTTGCTGCTTAACAATCGCTTAGATCACGACTTGGATTGAATGTATATTATAAATTTTGGTATGGTATGGTCGCATGTAAGGATATAAAGCTTATTGGGTTTCGGTAAAGTGTTGTTTTAAACGCTAAAGTGTTGACTATTACAAGAATAAAATACGTTAATTTGCTTAACGTCGGCTTTTTATACTATTGCTTCGATGGGGAACGTAATATGAAAATGTTGTATATATGTGTAAGCCTGTTCGGGTAAGACGTTGGACCTGAAAAAATTCGATTAGAATAATTGGTATTGTCGAGGATCGAACTCGTATTTTCGTTTGTACAAATACAAAGCTAAATTTTTTTTTTTGGAAAATGATAGCAAAAGTTTCTATTGTGGATTTTTTAGGATTTCTTCCAATACGAGATTTCTATGAATAGCATCGATTCCAATCTTTTGATATAGTGTGCTATCTACAAACGAAAATAAAAAACCAAGGAATGTCAAAATGTGTTGACTTCTGAATAAAGAATAAAAATGATATTGTAAGTTTGAATGGCAGAGAAAAAAGCTAAAAATCATTAATCTGGGCTACACGCTGACACATGTTTTAAAAAGTTAATGAAACTAAACAAAAATGGGAAAAAAAACACACACAATCGATTAGAGACAATTCTCTTGTTATTATTGAACACCTCAGTAATAGCTTACGGTTTGTACGAAATTCTTTCTTACTACTTTAGAAATATCGTTAATTTACTATCCTTTGAATGATTATTACAATTATACTTTTCACAATCAATTTTGTCATCCGAATGCCAAATGTCTACACAATATATGCCTTCAAATCTTCCTCAAAATGGAAAAAGAGGTGCATTTCCATAAATCTAATGCGTTAGGGAAATCTGTGTGTTATGTTTTGCCGTCACTGGTCTAAGACACTTATGGAGTTGCTTTTGTTTGGGAAAATTCACAATCGCTCATACATGCCCATTTATTTGCTAGGGACTGCTGCGATTTGTTGATTGGTAGGACTGAATGTTCTTGCTATGCTTGATATTTAATTATGGAGCACTACTTAATCTCACGCATTGCATTTGTACCTGGTGATATAACTGTAATTTACTACAACATTTTGTAATCATACAAACTTATTTCGTAAAGTAGATTCTAAACTTACAGAAGTTTATGTTTTATGCATACGCATCATTAAATTTAATTTTATGAGCTAGCATTTGAATCGAGGATGCTTGAATGAAACTCCATTTCCAAAACAAATTCGAAAGAACTTGGGGCGCTGCAAAGAGACATGTCGGTGTGAAAACGTTCGGACATTAAGCATGTAGTTCCAGTTCCTTTTTTGTAGGAATAAGTGGGATAGGGACGATTCGTTTGTGCTTCAGAAGAGTATATGAGGTTAGTTTGCTGCGATTTTTCATATTCCGTTTGGTGGTGAGGTGCGCGAATGTTTCGCTTTTTAAAATAAGAAATTACGCACTTCGTCGGGTTCATCGGCGTGGATCTCATCTGCGTTCAAGACGCTTAGGATGTCATCTTCAAGCGGTTCTTTGTGCAAATTGACATGATCTTCGTCCTTGTCTCCGGCTGTGTCACAACCGCCACCTACCACACTACTATTAATGACTAGTGTTGTTGCTGTTGCCGTGGAAGATGGAGGATTTCCGAGCACTTCTTTTACATCAACCAATGGTCCTAGGGGATCGAATGAGTCTTCCAGAAGTATACCGCTCTCAATAGCTGCAACAGCTTCCTCGTAGTATCAGTTGAGATCTCTACGAAAGCTGTCCTCTATTGAAGGGTCGGCAATCATAATGGGGTTTTGGTCGGACAACATTTGTAAGCCAGGTTCATCGATTTGGCCTAAATCCAAGTCAAGATTATCGAAAATATCGCGAGACGACGAATAATCGGAGAAGATTATCTGCGGTATGTTCGTAGTGGTGGTTGGGGTGTGCACCACGTTTAGTGCCTGATGTTGGTTGTGCTGTGAGTTGCTGTGGGTCGTATGACCATGATGCAGCTGCGACGGGTTCTGGCTGTTGATGTGATTATGTTGATGATGGTTTAAAATGTGAGCAGAAGGCGATGGCACGGGTGATATATTGCCACCCATCATTGTCAGACCAGGTGACGATACCGACAACGGCGATGAGTTGTGATGTGGCGAATGCAGCGGAGAGTGGTGTGGTGATGTTTGCACAGAAAGTGATAGCTGTTGGTGGTGAGCAGGAGAATGCGAAGACATTGGAATTGGTAATGGCGACGAAGGCGAAGGTGAACAATGGGAGAGCGGTGAAGGTATTGGTGAGGAATTGGCCGATAATATGTCTTGTCTATCGTTATTATTTATAAGGGCTGTCCTACATGGTGTGGGACCGTTGGTATTTGACGCGTTTGTCGACGAATTATTATTTGTGTGTTGGAAATGCTGTGAACTGCCCAGGGACAACCTATCACTTGATGTTCCTGATATATTGTTGTTGTTGTTGCAGTTACTGGTGGTGTTTGTGCTCTGTGTCCTAGTTGTGTTGGCCGATGAAGAATTCAAATCACCTAAATCAAACATTTTGTTGTGAAACGTATGCTGCATAGCCGTTTGGGTACCTGAAGTAGCAGATGCAACATAGTCTTCGATTTCAAGTGTATCGTAGTTTTGTGGTGACTGACAACTGTCTCCCAGACTGAATTGTTCAAAGTGATTGTGGAACGCTGGATGAAGCGTGTTGTAACCCTGGTTTGTGGAGTCGATAGCCCCAAAAGCCGTTTGTTGCATTGCTTGCTGCTGAATTTGTTGATTCTGTCTCGTGCTATTCCCTACACCTCCTACTGCTGTGGAGCTGTTGGCTAGGTTGCTCGGGCAATGTCTTATGGGGCTGGCAGGCGCACTCGTGTGTATGTCGTTTGAAGGACCAGACGTTAAAAGTCCCGGGGAAGAACCCGGACTGGGAGGATTTAAGGGCTGCCGGTAGTCTGTGAGGTTGCCAGTGGAACTAGCCGCCCCAAGAGTAGGAAGGGTGGTGAAGGCATTCGGAGCATGTGCGTTGCCTTGCTGGGAAACACTGACTGGTGACTGTACAGACAAATTAGTGAACGACAAATGCGGCGACGTGAGTGGGTTATTCGACGTAGAAGTATTTACAGCTGATGTTGGGGAATTTTCTTGTTGATGGTATGGGGACGGTGGACCACAACCACCTCTTGTAAGGTTGGGCGGACTAAATGGACTTGACGATTGGTCACGATCTTGACAACCATTACTATGGTTGGGGGATAACATGGGTGAAAGTGTATGTTGTTGTTGTTGCGGTTGCTGTTGCATCATTTGCGATATATTGGAGACGGCAGCAAAGTGGACAGAAGTGAGGTCGGGCAAGGAGCCAGTGTTGGCGTAATTCATAACATTTCCTGGTATACTTGTGTTATTAAATTTGGCATTACACTGCTGCTGCGGTTGCAAATGCTGTTGCATTTGCTGACTGTGCATATGTTGTTGAATATGTTGTTGTTGCGCTTGTTGTTGCTGCATTTGTATTCGTTGCAAATGCAATTGTTGCTGTTGTTGGTTCTGCTGGATCGTGCTCTTCCTTCTTTGTGCTTGCGGACTGTAACTTCGACCAATATTCGGCGAATGAGATCGATGACTATGGTGTTGTTGCTGCTGATGCTGGCTTGACTGATTCTGGTGGTAGTTGGTGTGCAATGAATTTAGATCTTCCATCAAACTTGTCTGTGGAGATGTCCCAAAGTTACCCTCGGCCATATTAAGTGTTTGATGCAATGCAGAATCCGAGTTTGATCTGCGCCAGCTAGTGTCCATTGGTGGACTCAAATAAGTGTTTTGGGTATTGCTAGGCATACCGCCTAAAATTAATCCCGCTGTACTTCCGTAAGGCGAGCGGTCCTGTTTTCGTTCCGATGGCCTTCGCATTGGACCACCGCCCATACTACGACCTCGCGACTCTCGATACGCTGTCGGCGAACTACCTGGTAATGTTCCACCGCCAGCATTTGCATCTGGAGAAGCTCCTCCTCCACTTGCGCCGCTACTCGTACCGCTACCTCCCCCACTAATATTTGTGTTCCCATGTTGTATATTTGTTTCGGTTCCATCTGCATTGTTTGGAGAAATTTCAAGAACACGAGTGGCCTTTACTTCATTCATTATCTTTTCAAATTCTGCAGTGCCTTCTGCCTGTTTTTGCTTTTGCAAAGCAATTTTCTCACTAAATTTTCGTGGGTTCGCCATATTTATTTATTGTGATTTATATGTGTTCGTATTCTTCCCACCTTTTTGCGAGATATATCAGTGTCTGCTTGCAATGTCTCCTACAACTTTAGGTGAACATAATAAAAATCAGACATCGTGTGCAGTGTTGTTTAGAAACAGGTTGGAAAAGCCGATTTCGAGAATATCGAGAAAGATATTGGCCCGAGCACATGAATGGTCCAGTTAATTTCCGGTAATCAATGTAGAATTTATTGGGAAGAAATAAAGATACATTATTATAAGGAGAATAATAATTTAGAAAATTCATAAATCTATACATATGTTTGTAATTTGTATTCTAAATTATATTTTAACAGTTTAAAACTTGTCCAAAGCATTTTTAAATAAAGTCGCCGACGACAATAAAGAAATCAATAAGAACTAACTAAAACAGAATTTCGTTTACTTTAATGTTACCTTTTACATGGAATCTTTGCGTTTAAAAGTTACCACAAATAGCCTAAACAAATGACTAACCGAAAGTCCAACTGACTAAATAAAACATGGAATTCTGTCCGACAAAAAAACTTTCATTCTCTGTTTGGCTTTTACATGCAAAACTGTACATGTATGTTCTGTTCCAGAAAGTAAAAATGTTACTACGATAACCAACTTTTCACTCATGATATCGAAAAAATGGCAAAACCGTAGATTCCTGCAGGTCCTGGAAAAGAGCAATTGTGAATCTTGTGTTTTTTATTTAGAATTGCAGATGAACTTTTCATATGATTTACTGTTTATTATATTTTGTACAATTTAATACAAAGGAACAATAACAATTGAATTGCATCGATTTCGGAAGCCGATAGAAACATATGCTCTGTTCCAAAACCTGCAAGTTTCTAGCTTTGGAAATTTTTGCGATACCATGGGAAAAAATGATGATGTGCGAACGAACATTTAAGAAGGCTATCGTAAAAGAACAAAGGATTGTAAAGTGAACAAATATGGATTATGAACCGAAATTAAAATAAGTGAACCTAAACATATTTTGTTCTATAAAGAAGAAGCCAGCCAAGAAAGCCTGTTATTTGCCTGCACCTTAAGTTAGCCGAATATTTTCTGGATTTCCTCATTATTTTATACATTTCACATAGTTTCGTATAAGCAACGATTTTCCTTTGCTTCAAAGCTTTGACATTGTAATTGTTAAAAATTTCATTGAGTGACCTGTCCATACATTACGGTCCTTCCACCAATATGATTTGATGCTGGTTTGTAAACATTTTACACATCAATCAATGCCGAATACTTAAGGGAAGTGCAACAGGTACCAATACACATTGAATTAGAGCTATAGAAGTTACTAGAATTAGAAACATGAATACTCACGGTCGGATTTAAACCACAAGGTGGTTGTTTAAAAATTTCTCGTTCTTTTTCTTCCTAGCAATATGGAGGTTTTTGCACCGCCTGGGATGTAAAATGGTACATACACACAGGTCTTCAAGAGCTAGACCTTCACCGGCCTTTAGTGGTCTATGGATGAATTGGCTCTATCAGTTTAAGCATAATTAGTGGATTACAAGTGAAACCAGTAAAAACCGTATTCGCGCTTTTTTTGCTTCGCTTCAGCGGAAGACGGCCAAACGAACGAAGAAATAGTGTGGTGTGTGTATATTTTGCCTTTCGTCTCTGTTGTTTGTGACAGAAAAGTGCGCGTAGTATTGAAACGCAAAAAAAAAAAGAAAATAGTCAAGTCGAAAGAAGAATAACAATAATAATAATAAAGTAAATACCGCGAGTTCAATATTAGTAAGAAGAGTTTCTTATATCTGTGTGCATGGATGGGCGTATGAATGCTTGTATGTTTTGTCCAAACTATTTAATATTATCACTTGAAGTCGTTTTTTTCGGGTTTTGTTTTCCTATTTCATACGGCACGCGAGCGGAGATGTTTGGGGGGTTTGGATGAGTCGCAAAGAAGAGAGAGCGAGCGAGAGACGGTGAGTGCAAAATCCAATAATTAAAAAACGAATTAAGCTACGACTTGAAAAAGTGGCTTTGTTTGGTTGTGTTGAAAAACTTGTATGACTCCGTGGGCAAAGAGTAAGGGGACGTTTTCTGAATCGATTTGAATAATTAATAATGATTTTGTTTCATATGCGAGACACAATCTTTGTTTTTTTTTTTTGGCGTGAACGTTGTTTACAGCATCATCATCCAGCAGCACCTGTCCTGCGGACTGATTGCTAAAAATGTGGCAACTTTTGAATATTCTTCGAAACCAGATTTATTCAAAAAACTTGTATTTGTCTGACATTCCTATTTGTGTTGTTTTTATGTTTTAAGCTAACGTATCTTGTTGTTCCCTCCACGCGACGACAAGGGTTCATTTGGGGTTTTAGAAGAAATATCAGAGCAAGAAAACTTCTTTCAGCATACGGAATTTACTACACGGTCTGTTTTGTTTAGAAGGCGAGTACTCCTTGCTGGTTAACGCTTGATTGACTTTCTTTTGTTGTTGGTGTGCTGCTGCGTTCTTCTTGTTTTTCAAATTGCATTTCTCTGATACGTTGTGTGTATTATGCACACACAACAGAATTCCTTAACTTGCACATTTCATTTCACTTCGTAGCATGTACATACCTACATACATATAAACAACACTCACACATTCGACCGATCTCTCACATACACACGATAAATTTTGTACTTTTTATATGACAAATATGCATAACATTTCGTTCCGTCTTTTCTGAAGTAGTCCGAAATCACAACTTCGATCCTTGTGCTTAGTTTTTATTCATAGTTCGGGCTGGTTCACTGCACCACTAGTTTATGTATGCATTGTTGTAGTTTTTATTTCGTCGCACTTTGCTTTATAGTTTTCTTTTCTTCTCTGCTATATGGATCCCAAGAATTCTGTTATGTCTCTTATTCTTTTTTCCACTTCATCATTAACATTCACTGAACTCGTATTGGTGTTCGCACCAGTGGAAACTTTGCTTAGCAGGTCGCTGTCGAAAGAAATCGCTTCACTGGCATTGAAAAACGCCGTTGATGTGCATTCGCTGCTTTATATTGTTATTCGATAAAAATATTTTTCAATTGGATTTTTTCTCAGCAAAAAGAATTTGTTCAGCAAAACACGAACTGTCACTCGTAATTGTCAAACCGATTGTTGAAATGTGTCAAATTATTTCTGAAAAGAGGGGGCTGTTTTCAGTGGACGAGATGTGTTCTGTATGCACATGAATTCGCTCCCCAAAATAGAAACGTTGGGCGTACAGCAGATTTTAAGATTCATTTTTACAACCCAGGAAAAAAATGAAGTCGTAAAATACCGAGTTGTGATTTCACGACATTCTTTGATGGACCCACCAAATTATCGTTTTATCGAGTAATCGATCGCATCAGTAATCGACTAATTATTTGCGGTCAAAAATCCTAAAGATAAACAAAAGCGTGTCAGTAAATAGTAAGAAATTAAAACTAATGTTCTAGTATGCTGCGGAATAAAACGAGAAAAAAGTTGTTAGTTTCTAACTAGTGGCAAAAATTAATCCAAAAGTGTGCGTTTCGCAATACACATTTCAAGGAGTGAATTTGAACGAATGCCATGAAACAAACGCTCGCAAGTACATAGTAAGAAAAAAACAGAAGGTAGAAAAAGTTTCTTCCTAAATATTTTTTTTTCTTTTGCTGCCCCTATTCCGCCAAATCATGTTATTTTTTTAGTTGTGTGTATTGTTTTGATAAAACAGAAAGCAATTTGAAGTTATTTAAAAATTTTGTTGCTAACATTTAATTTAACATTTTCGAAGTTAACAGCGTTACCTTAAATTCGACGTACTCGATCGACGGTTTTCACCACACAAGTTAAATACATGGCACACTAACAGAAGGTAGGCATTGAATATAATAATTCTTTTTTTTTATGTGTTGAGAATAGAAATAAGTGATACAATAAATGTGAAAGTTTGAATTCAAAATTGATTTTTAGGCTTAACCCTAGTTAGTAAAAACTATTAATTTTTTGGACATTTTCTTTAAGTGGTAGGTATTTTTATGCTGATATTTTTGGGACGGACCCGGATGCACTTACACGATGTAAAAAAAGGTGGTTGTGGTTATTTATAAACGGTGCGGAAGTTATAGTCAAAATATCGATTTTTTGGACCAGAGGGGAACATCTCAAGCCCTTGGTCGTAGCTGGTGTAGAACATACCAGGAGGAAAAAATTTCAAGCCCCGGCTGAAGACCGGCTACCAGTGTCCGATAATTTAAATATACTTCGAATTCTGTTATGATTATTCAAGTTGTTGACCCTCTATGGAGTTCCTTCCTTCCTTAGGTTCCTTTTGGACCTAAATAAATATGATATAAAAATTACGACGTGCCAATTTTGGACTATATTGGTACTTCCTTCACTTTATATGAGGTATGTGCTAATTTTTAGAATATGTTATAAGTGTGTGTGAGTTACCCACATATAGTCGACAGAATTATTCCATTTTCATACCTCATCTGATACAGAAAAATAATTACAAGAAAATTGAAAATGTATGTCCAATTTTATGAGAATTTATAAATTTGAGGGTCAGGTACCAGAAGGCGTTTGCAGATATATATATTATCTTCACAACAGATCTTGTGTTACTAAAAATGTATGTATGTGTGAAATTTGAAGAGAGTTTGATACTTATTACGCTTTCTTTGAGCGTTTGGTTTTTTTAACATTTGAACCCTATGTGGGGGAGGTACCAAAAGAAATGGTCAGATCCTCCCATCATTATAACGGATCTTGTGTTGATGGAAATATTGAGGTACACCATTTTGACCCTTTGCGGTGGAAAGCACTTGATGGAGTTGAACATTCCGACCTTTTGTGGGGGAGTGGACCGTTGTATGCCATTTTAACACCAGATCCTGGACTAGTAAAATTATTCGGATGTGTGAAATTTGAAGACAATCGGACTCTTACATCGCATATTATAAGAGTTGTAATTATTTAAAGTTTTGAACTTTTGTGGGGGAGGTACTTGATGAAGTGGACCGATATTGTCCATTTTCGCTCCTTACCTAGAACTGACGCGAATATTAGGATTTGTAAAGTTGGAGCAAAATCGGATTGTCGTTCCTCTTTCTGTGCAGAAAATATATTTTTTGAAAATGTCGATCTTTTGTGGGGGAGGTAGCAGAAGGAATCGACCGATATTGCTCATCTCAGCACTCAATATAAGTTTGACAAAAATATTCAATGTACCAAGATTGGACCTTCGAGAGTTATCGTGCGCGCCAGCCAGACAGGGTAGTATACACATATGCTCTATTCTATAAGCTGCAACAATCTAATAGGTTTTATTTATTTTTTTTTACATCATAAAGGAGTATCGGTTATCGTAGTATAATATTTTGCATTCTTGCAGCTCTGGAACAGAGCAATAATGTTACAGTCATATACATATATGCTAGAGTCATGTGTATAACATATATTAATATATCATACTTATGCAAGCCAGACACGATACAACTGGTTGTACAACTTGGAGAGTACTCAAATTGTGTGTTCCTGTCACAAACGATACAACTTAGTGTACAACTTCTTCGTACAACTTCACTTTTCGTAGAGCTTTTTATACCCTCCACCATACTATGGAGGGTATATTAACTTTGTCATTCCGTTTGTAACTCCTCGAAATACTCATATCAGACCCAACAAAGTATATATATTCTTGATCAGCGTAAAATTCTAAGTCGATTTAGCGATGTCCGTCTGTCTGTCCGTCTGTCTGTCTGTCTGTCTGTCTGTCCGTCTGTCTGTTGTAATCACGCTATCTTTCGAATGAATTGAGATAGGTGGCTAAAATTTTGCACACATGTTTATTTTTCCAGTAGGCAGGTTAAGTTCGTAAATGGGCCATGTAGGTCCACGTTTTCATATAGCCCCCATATAACGGTACCTCCCTATATTCGGTATTTTAATGATTTTAGCTACATTATTCACCGTTTATTTCAAGTTTCGAATTTTAATATGGTAATGGCTTATGACAAATAATGCCTATGTATGTCCACGTCGTATAGACCCCAAAATAACGGCTATATTCGGTATTTTTAAAATTTTAACAGAATTTTTTAAGGATTTTATTTTTTGAAAATTTCCAAATTCGTTGCAAATGGTGGAGGGTATTAAAAGTTCGGCCCGGCCGGACTTACTGCTTTTTAACTTGTTTTAGTTAAGATGGCACCGGAAAAAATTCATGCTCTATAAGTGAATCAATAGATTTTATTTATAATTAATTTTTGAAATTCCATTTTACAAATTGAAATTCCTTTTAATATATACATTAAAATCACACATTTGATTGGATTTCGTATTGTTTTGATGTGCGAAGCAATGGTGTTGTCTCTTCAAAAATAAAAACAAAATGCAATTGTATGCGACATGCCCACAAACGTTATGCAAGCCACACACCTTACAACTGGTTGTACAACTGAGAGAGGTTGTATTCAAGATTGTATCGTTTGTGGCCCGGTTGTACGAAGTTGTGTCTCGGTTGTATGAAAATTCAATTTTTTTGATATTTGGCATGTTATACCAACCGATTGTAACGTTTGTGGGCATGTCGCATACAATTTCATTTTGTTTCTATCATCGTTTTCAACATCATTTTTTCGCACATCAAAACAATACGAAATCCAATCAAATGTGTGATTTTAATGTATATATTAAAAGGAAATTGAATTTATAAAATGGAATTTCAAAAATTAATTATAAATAAAAGCTATTGATTCAATTATAGAGCATGAATTTTTTTCCGGTGCCATCTTAACTCAAATAAGCTCTACGAAAAGTGAAGTTGTACAAAGAAGTTGTACACTAAGTTGTATCGTTTGTGACAGAAACACACAATTTGAGTAATCTCCAAGTTGTACAACCAGTTGTATCATGTGTGGCTTGCATTACAATCGGTCGGTACAAAATGCCAAATATCAAAAATTTTTTATTTTTCATACAACCGAGACACAACTTCGTACAACCAGGCCCCAAACGATACAATCTTAAATACAACCTCTGCAAGTTGTACAACCAGTTGCTTCGTGTGTGGCTTGCATTATATGTACTATGTATAAGTGTAAAATAAAATATATTAATAAACATATATTAATATTATATAATTATAATGCATTGTAGAGTATACTATATAAAGTTCAGCACTTTGTTCTAGATTAAACGCGCTTATAAGTCGGCTACGAAACTGTTCATTTTAAAACCTAAAAAAATCCCTTTACCTATAATTCTACAGGGTTGCCCATATTCGACGGACCCATGTTTTTTTGGGTCCATTCCAATCGACGAGGCTTGTCCGCAGGCAACATTCTTTGCGTCAATTGAATTTTGTACGGGAACAAATGCAAATCAATGCGAATAATCCGTTGTGAAGTGGACCGAACCATGCCCAACTGCTGAGAACGGCGTTTTCGGGATGTTCTTGGGGACCTCTCAGCACTGGCTCGTACGCCAGCGATATTCTTGGCCGATCGCCTTGGTCGACTTTTATATGGCCTCTTCGGATTAGAAAGAGCCTTACCAGTCGAAAATTTTTCGTATAAACGCTTAATGGTGTTCTTAGAAGGCGCACTTCTCACATTTTTTAATGTTTTAAAAGCACGTTGTGTTTTCACAATTGACTTCTTCTGTTGAATGTAAATTTCAACTATTTCAGAGCGCGTGTATTGTTTGATGGTAAAAATCTGCTTGGACTGACGCTTCAAACGCGGTATGTCATTAAGCGATGTGACATCTCTGTCAAAAGTTATGGCGTTGCCAGATGGGTCCGTCGAAATGGGCAACCCTGTAATGTCGTGTTTATGTTGGATCGTTTTATGGGGTTAAAGTACTTCAAGAGGATTTACTTGAAGTATAGGTAATGAATATGACGAATTTAATCCAAATCCAGTGTGTTAACCCGTTAATGCGTATACACGATGTGGAAACTGGCTTTAACCAATGATATCAAGAATGTAAAACATTTTACTATGATAATCGGTTTTGCGTTTAGTCAAATGTTTGCAATTTTTTCATATTTGACAACATCTCATTGTCAACATTTTTATTTATTGTTTTTGAAAAATAAAAACAAACTATTTTCAAACTAATGATTGAAAGAAATTTGTTTGCCATGGAATGGAAGAAAAGTATAACCATGGGACAAGTCGGCCACAGTCAGTCAGCTGAGAGCTCTGCAATACCTTTTAATCTTACCATGAGTAGAATATACTTTGGTTGGTTTGAAACTCCCACCCTCTACATACTACAAAAAATTGTAACATTAGGTATGTCTGGTTACCCTAAAATTTATAACAACAGTTGCATTGCCAAAATGTTTATTCAGAAATCTATTTTGTCAATTATGACAACTTTCTACAAGGCAAATTGAAAAAAATGCAGGGCTGGATATTATTATTTGAAATGAGCTTTCTTGAAGAACATAATTGCCCATTAATGAGCAATGCCAGTATATAGTTTGTGCGTCCGACTACAGAATCGAAGGTTGTGAGTTGGAGACTAGGCGTCGGCAAACGCTGTTATCCAGTATCCAGTATCATAAAGATGAGTTCTGATGGGAATCACACTACTGTAAATAAATATAGAATCAAATCTGTTTTTGGAGATCTGGCGGAACTCCTTATTATTGCGCCATGACTGTAACCGTTTCTCCGCAAAGAATAAGTGAAACGTCATATTTGGTTAATGTTGTTTATAATTATCAGACTTGAGTGGACTACCTACACACATGCAAACGTAAATACATGCATGTGTATATCTATTTTTTATCAACTGTTATTAATAGCAGTTCTCTTATCTTGCCGAATACACTTGAGTTGGGTTAATTCTGTTCTGACGCCTATACTCATTGTTGATTTCATTGTTCGCTAAACAGTCCAGTCCAGCAGAGGGGTAAATAATGCGAGGGCCTCAATAAAACTAAGAGGAATTCTCATTCGTAGAGCATTGGAAAGCCAGCTGATTTGACGCCACTATAAGATTTCTATTTTTATGTACACTAGGCATCTACACAAAAACTTCAGTGTCATGTCTGATTCAGGAGAAAGATGTGAAGCATTAGAATTTAGTATTTAATGCATTTTTTATTCATGATCTGCTATTTAAACAATCAAAGTAAAAAATGTTTGGTTTTTAAATTTAAATCAGTTATTGAAACATTGGCAATAGCCTTTATCTTTGTATGAAAATAAGCACACAGTAAGAATTGCCCGAAAATTGCAAGTACGAACATATCCATTTACATTCCCCTTACCAATCTTTCCTACAAACAAAGAATTTCCACCAGAATATTTACCTAATATAAATTCGGAAAATCCAAAAAAAAATCCATAAGCTATAATTATGACAAACATGTAATCTATCTTGTAAAATATAGATCCAACCAATAGACCAATGAAAATGTGTACTCTAAGGCCCATTTAAATGCTTCTTTTCGTTTTGCGTACTCATATCTTGTTGGGGCCCTAGCCAACGATTCGGCCATACTTTGGAGCTCTGCGGTGTAGTGTTTAAACGTTGACCGCAATCAAAACAGAAGTTATCAATACTTGAAAACAGTCTAATCAAAGGGTCTCACGAGAAAAGTTCGCAAAGTTCGGTTAAACAAAAAACAACAATAGCATAATCCTCAATACAACATCCGAACGCGTGTAATTTCACAATAGAGAAGAGGTAAAATGTAGGAGGATTTGCAAAACTTACTAGTTAAAATAAAAAAGAAAACAAAATCCAAGTGTCCGAATATATAATAAAAAAATACAGGCCCCCTGAAGATTATTTAATTTTACTTACATTAATCGACAATAAACAGTTGCGTATGTAAGGAAAAAAGCGAAACGGGTGACAGTCTTGCGAAAATTGTTGTGGAAATAATTTTAAAATTAATTGAAAATGATAGGTGAGTTCCAACAGAAAACGGTTGCCATTCTCGATTCAGCAAGTGAGATAACCTCTTTAATTCTGCCACCATGATTGCCACCTGGCTGTGATAGTTCTGCTAGCAGTTCTCTCGGAACGAACAACAATTCTCTCGGTTATCAGGTTTGCCATCATAATTTGAACAATGTTTTGATTGCACAACCACTTGTGACACCGTGGTCCTACAAAACTTGTAAGCCTATGAATGCTCAAGGTTACCTTAATAGTTCTACCAAGATATTCTTGCAACATGACACATATTAAAGGTGCAGTTATTGGCTGGCTTTCTTGTAAAAGGACAAAGGACCTTTAAGGTGACTTAGTTCCATTTCGGCACATCATTTAACCTGTTCACCCTACACTCCCTTGTGCTTTTTAAGTATTACCAAAATCCGCCTTATATTTACTCTCACTTTTATGTATTCTAGATTTAAAAGGGGTCCGTCTACTTTTCCAGTAAACTCTTTCGAGTAAGGATATACAAGAAAGACAGGAATGTAGCTTTGGGCCAATTTGGCTGTACGAGTTCCGCTAGTATTTAGATTAAAACGCACCAACAACGCGACTTTGTTGCTCTGACTTAATTTCATAATTGTTTTGCACAGATTTGATTGATCGGCTTGGTACAAGAGGAAACAGCTTCACCTGCAGAGCACCGGTGACTGCGACCATCGACATAAATTACTTGCGACTAACGGTAAAGGCGACGATTCTCGTAAATGGCACCGTGGAATCTAATTCTGTGCTCTCTCGCATTGCTCACAAATAAGTCACTCGGCCTGTCGGTATCTCATCGCACGTATTCAAGTCGTATGGCAGCGTCGTTAGCAGGCCAGATTAAAAATGGGTCACAACCTTCGTCGGTGTTAGTGATAGGAGAAGAAGCGGACGTTTTAACACCCGGTCAAATGGTTTTTGGGGCTATACCAGAGCAAGGTAAGTCTTTCTGTGCACCTTTAATTTTAACTCTTGATATCCCTATATTGTTTTGTCAACTTGTAATACTGTGCCCCTCTCAGTTCCAATTGTTTCGGTTGAAGGGATTAGATTATAATGCCTGCCCGCATAATATTCCAAGTCAAAATGCAGCGTAACCATTGAATCATTGTGCCGTATACGCAATATGCCCGTATCATTCTCAATTCAAGCGAACGTATACGCCTCATTGTTGGACCGGTCTTTCGTTATTGTTGAGCTTCGCATTAGGCCGATTCGTTTTCTATTCCCTCAGTCTGTTGGCTGCAAAGGGGTTATATAAGGGCTATGCCCTTTATCGAAATAACAACATAAGACCCTATGTCTCTTTGGATTTGTTTGACTGGTGCGACCAATAACTCTCGATAGTAGTATGCTATTCTATATTTAGACCGCATTCGACGTTGAAAAAAATCGGTATACTTCTTGTTATATCTCCTCCACCGAGGGCAAAATTCCCAAACATAAATCATACGTTAATCAGGGGAGAAAATCGACCACTTCCTCTTAACTCCCATAAAATGTCACTTTTTCCACTGACATCCCAATGTTTCGACAACAGAAGACCATTAGTGGGATGCTATAACACACTTTTTGAATTACCGACAAAAATCGGTAACTTTCAGATGCAAAATTTTGTTATAAGAACAAATAAAAGTTTATAACATTGCTATCTATCGGTAGATCTTAGCGACAAATTTCATTTCGTCGCTAGCTTACCAAAAAATTCGTTAATTACCGAAATTATAAGCATTTGAATTCTACCGATTTCTTCGGTAACTCAGACAATGAGTTACAGAATTCCACTACTGATATGAAGATTGGATACAACGCTCAACACTTTCTGATTCCTCCGCACAATGAATGAAATTTTTAAATTATTATAACTTTCATTAGAATTCGCACAAGGCAATATAACAGCAAAGCCAAGATCTAGCGAGCAGTTGGGAATGGTGTGTAGCGGTCTACTGATTCTGGAACCTTCCCCGCAAATGGTCAACCTAACGAAGAAAAGTTCAAAATCTTTGGTATCTGTCCTGCAAAAGTTTGGAATATTAACTAATCAAAAATCTCACAATTTAGTCCCACTAATTTCCGCTGCGAAGATGTACTCGACTCCTCGTAAAACCGCTTTTTATGATTCGAAATTAAGGTTATGTGCCACAATTCTTTGTAGATATGCTACTAGAGATCTCTGCTATCCCTTAGAAAACATCGACAGTTTTTTCCACTAATATGTAATGTTGTCTTTATAAACAAAGCCGTAATGGGATTAAGGCAGACTATTTTAAAACCACAAAATTACTGCCAAGCAAGGTGTATGCATCAGCTACAACAACTAACATTTCACAAAAACAACATTGTTGTTATAGAAACTAAAAAGTCATGTTGGCAATTAGTTATAATTTGAAAAACATAAATAAACCAATAGAACTTGAGTCGAACCTGGAGAGTTTCTAATTCGCATATGCTAATTTGCAATAAGTTCGAAATATATACTACTTTCGAGAGAACGGCCCTTGTAAGCCATCATCCACATCAAATATGCCTGATGAGCCGCTTAACCAACGGCGAAACGCGTCGGATAGTGGTGAGTGTGTGATAGTGTCTATCTGGCTTTCCTTTTCACTGCAAATTTCAGATCATTAAGCTCGTCTGGAAAGAGAAAACAAACACTTAAAAAATAAATATTTTAAACAATAGTTTGGAGAAAAAACCGAACCTCAGAAATTCCCGCTCGTTCAAATGCTTTTAAAATGTCTACATTTTACATCTCTTTGGAGGAAATCCGTATCACAACATGTGATTGTCAATTACACCTTATTAAATACACCTTGCTACCAGGTAGTGTCGTATGCCAGCCGCATCTGAACAATAAATGTCAAAATAATAAAAATTTGTTCAAAAAACAAAAACACAGACAACGGACACAGCAGTCCGATGTTCCACAGCCATTTTTGTTGGACGTTGTTACCTCTTCAAAGCTTACAATCGATGTCTCTGTTTACTCGATATCTGGGGGCGAATGCTATGGGACCAGATTGTCTGTTAACTCAAAAGTCCTGTAAAAAAGTGTGAATCAAGAGTGAAATGTTGAAAAGAGGAAATTTGCCCAGCCTGTGTTAGCAAACCCAACAAGTCGTTATTTTCAAATGTTATAGTGTTACAATGGTAAAATGAAGAAGGTAAAGTCATTTCAAATAACCATATACATCTCTGCATTTTCTGTAATTTACTTTGTCAAATTTCGCTGCATAAAGCTAGGTTTCCATCTCTGATTTGTTTATTTACAATGGATTTATAAATATAAAGGTTGGCAATGAGATGCTGTCAAACAAATAAATAAAATAAAAAAAATGTAAACATATGTTTGCATGACTTAACCTTCTTGATTCCACCATGAGTAGAACACACACACGTTCTTCGCCACACACGAAGAGTTCACTTCTGGATGATAGACTCTTATAGAGCATGTTTTTCACCCAAGTATTCATATCAAAAAGCTGAAAAAACTGAGTGACCATACCCTTAGCAAATATTTCAAGGTTGCCAGTTTCGTTTTGAAAAACATCTCAGATTGAAGGTACCTTAGCAGCTAATTTCCTGCTAATTCTGACTGAAAGTCGTCGGCTTACTTTCTCTCTCCCTCTCCTGTTACTCTCCTGCAAAAGTTTACTGAGTAAATCTTACTGGAAAATTAGCCGAACATACCTAATGTGGTCTCCCAATCTTCTTTCGAATCATGGTACAATACGGAGGTAGAACAGCTTCAGCCAACAGCCACAGAAATACAGCCCTGCTATGCCCGCTTCCCGTGAGAATTATTCAAAATTATATGCAACAAGTTTTTCTCATTTATTTGCTATCAATTCTCATTTTTCTAAAGTGAGTTAAAAAAGGCGCGAAAGCTGAATGAAATGCCTACATTTTATCTCAAAAATATAATTCAGAGTACGTTGCTTGCTATCATTGTTTTGAAAATATTTGATTTTTATTTTCCACAATCATTAACACATACCCAGGATTGGTAGAAGTCAGTCACCTTACCTTTTTTGTACCTTGTTTTGAATCACTGTTAAATTATCTTTTTTGAAAATATATCCTTACGATTGACTGATAACTCCCAATTGTCCGATAAAATCACATATAGTGTCGGCACAGCGACTTTATCTTTCTATTTTTTTTTCTTCATGTAACGGACGAGGGAGATTTTGACGTATGGCCGAAGGTGTGTAGTGCTTTTTATATTGGTCATAGCATGCTTTGTGTAAACTATTGCTGTTGCCATGAGGAAAATCATTCCTTTCCGCCACTCCCCACAAGCTATGAAGCTTATTATGCTCATGCGACTTTTCCCAATCTGCTTGAAGCGGAAATATGATGTGCTAGGCTACGGCTGTCATCTGCTCTGTCCGCATTATGTTCAAATGGATTTCATCATGGTCCCCTGTTGTTGTGCCAACCGAAGGACGAGCAAAAGGAAATGAATACTCTGCATCTCATGTAGGCTGTAATCCAATTTAAAAGGGTGCAAAAAGGTCAAATTGCCGCTAATAATCATATTAAGAGGAGCGATAGTCGATTCAATTGGACCAAGCACCACTTCAACTACACTTCGATCAATTCTCCTCATTTCGAAGAAAGAATCAGATAATGAAGTCGTAAAATAAAAGCAGTTCGTATGGAATCGCCATATGTGTGTAGTTGATTTCACAGCGGAAATAGGTTGGTCAATTGATTATCTTTTCCAATATCAAATACCAATATTTGTTATAATAGAGTATTCAGCGAAGATATTGTGCTGGTGCCCTCTGTAACATTGGAACTATGTTCTCGGAGAAAAGAAAGGTAGAACTAACTCCTCATTTGTATACCATCAGCTCTATCGGTCAAGTTCCTCCTGGTCCCAATATATGTATCATATAAAGCGAAAGGAGTTCCCATTGGTCCCAATATGGCACAATAAGCCCATCTGACAACCAAGTAAAACTAATCCAAACCCAAAGAGGTAAGGTAAAGCTACCAGTTGATTCCATTTTTTTCCAGCGTGTGCCCGACTTCTGCCAATTTTGCGTATATCGAAAAATAAAACAAAATATTTTCAAAACCAATGTTTGGAAGAAACGAGCATTGCAGGGGACGCATTAAGTATACTATCCAGTATTGCCCTGGAATTGGAAGATTGAACAGTTTTGTCAAGTTCCAATACCGCCGTATGGACTTGTTGTGGTTCAAATTCTACTGAGTAGATTTTGAGCCGGAATTTATTGTTGCACAAAGACGAACAACAATATTTTTTAGCAAACTACAAACAAACACAAAAGTATTCTGGCGATACTTACGTTTGTTGTCTGCACAAAAGAAAAAGCACTTTATTAATTATTATTTCAAAGTTAAAAATGACTCAGTCGGTCAACTGTTTTATTTATAAAAAATTCACAATTTTGATCTGGCGATCCACTTTTCTAAACTTCAAGAAGAAGAGTGCCAACCAAAAATCCTTAACGATGTGACCTCACCGATAGTTTTTAACGGATTTTATTTTTGAAAATTGTTAAATTTGTACCAAATGGTGGAGGGTATTCAAAATTTGGCCCGGCCGAACTAACAGCTTTTTACTTGTTTTAAAAATAACACCCATGACAAAAAACTTTTTTCTACCCAAGTAATGAGATCATAAGCTTAATGGAAGAGGGACCAAAGAATTACATAGAACTGAGGATTGGTGGCTCTTTCCGAAACCTAGGTTAACCCCCTGGTAAACATTACCACCGTTGTTTTTATAAAAACAACAATAATGGGATTAAACCTGACCATTCGGAACAACAAAATACTATGGTATCCCGAACAAACATGCCAGCACCATTCTATGTATGGAAGCTATATCTACATTTTTTTAGAACCCTGGCGACAATGTGGTGTGGGACATAAATAGCAAAACTAGTAGATTCCTGCAAGTT